CTGGTGGTCTTAGTCCCATTGGCCTGTATGGGCACATCATGGGATGAGTGTATAACAGAGCAAAGCTGTTCACCTCACAGCCAGGACATGAAAAGGGATGGGGGGAGGAACTGGGGTCCCCATACCATCTTCAAGACATATCCTCTGTGACTAGAAAACCTTCACCTGGACCCACCTCCCAGTGGTGGCATTCTGAGGATGAATCCTCTAATGCATCAGCCTTCGGGGAACACTGAAGACAGCCAGTGGGAATAATGAGGGGCTGAGGAAATGACTCTGTGTATAAACACTTGCCCTGAAGCTTGAGGACCAGAGCCAGATCCCCAGTACCCATATTAATGCCAAGTGGGCATGGCAGCCCACCTGTAATCCCATCACACAGAAGGCAGGAACAAGGTATCCCCAAAGCAAGCTGGCTAGCTTCACCAACTAAATCAGTGAGCTCTGGGTTCGAGTGAGGAACCCTGCCTTGATATATGATTGAAAACGATCGAGGAAGACACCCATCGTCAACCTCAGGCCTCCATATACATGTGCTCACAGGTACATGCACATACACATGTGTGCCCACACATGTGAACTGAATGATCATTGAAATACTATACATCAGATGTTGTTTGAGGCAAGTAGTGCACAAGGGGAAATGTTAAAACTTTAAATGCTATAAAAGAAGAAATGAGCCCGGCGTGGTGGCGCACGCCTTTAATCCCAGCACTCGGGAGACAGAGACAGGCAGATCTCTGTGAGTTCAAGGCCAGCCTGGTCTACATAGTGAGTTCCAGGACACCCGGGGCTACAGGGAGACCCGGTCTCAAAAAGACCGAAAAAAAAAAAAAAAACAAGAAGAAGAAGAAATGGCAACATTAATGAGCCAAATGCTCAGTTCCGTAAGTTAGAAAAAGTACTCTAGAGAAACCAGAAAGTTAGAAGAAAATGGAAACTCTAAAGCCAAAGTTAATTCCTTAAAACACCAGGGAACTGGGGCTGGAGAGATGGCTCAGTGATTAAGAGCACTGACTGCTCTTTCAGAAGATCCAGGTTTGGTTACCAGTACCCACGTAACTTACTACCATCTGTAACTCTGACACCCTCTTCTGCCCTTCTCAAGCACTGCACACACATAAAATTTTTCAAAATTCAAATTAGGGCTAGAGAAATGGCTCAGTGGCTAAGAGCACTGGCTGCTTTCACAGAGGACCCAGGTTCAATTCTCAGCACCCATATGGCAGCTAACAACCATCCATAACTCCAGTTACAGGGGATTCATGCCCTCTTCTGGCCTCTGTGTGAATTGCACAACACAGGTGCACTTACATGCAGGCAATACATTCATACACCTAAAATAAAAATTAAGAAATAAAAATAGGGACTGGAGCGATGACTCACCGATTAAGAGCATCAGCTGTTCTTGGAAAGGACCTATGTTCGATTCCCCGAACCCACATGGTGGCTAACAACCACCTGTAACTTCAATTCTAGGGGAATCCAACACCCTCTTCTGACTCTGAAGGCACTGTGCGAAACAGGTGGACTTACACACATGCAGGCAATACACTCATACACATAAAATAAAAATAAATAAATAAAAATTAAAAGCAAGAAATCAAAAGACTAAAAAGGAGTCTTGGTTCCCTGGGGCACTCTGCTTCTCCCTTTGACCTGCACAGGAGCATGCCCAGTGGACCCTGAGTCCTGTCATCTCCCTCCAGGGTATCATTGCAGAAGAGAATAAGAATCTGCAGCCCCAGGGAGATGAGGACCCTGGGAAATTCAAGGAAGCTGAGCTGAAGATGCGGAAGCAGTTCGGGATGCCGGAGGGTGAGAAGCTGGTCAACTACTACTCCTGCAGCTATTGGAAGGGCCGCGTGCCCAGGCAGGGCTGGCTCTACCTGACCGTCAACCACCTGTGCTTCTACTCCTTCCTGCTTGGGAAGGAAGGTGAGCACCAGCCCGGGGGAGGTGGGGTAGAAGGCACTCCCTTTGTGTATCCCCCCACATCATCCCCAGCTCCTCCCTCCTTTCTCCCTGACATCACAGCCTCTCCAGACTGCCCACATTCCTGATGAATCTCCCTCCTCTCCACCCCAGATATTTTGTGTGCACACAGTGCCACCAGAGGAGTCTCCCCAAAACCCAGATGCCACCTTAGCTATCCATGATGGGAGCATGCAAGCAATACCTGCCCTGGCAGCCCTTGTTATGCCTACAGCCCACTAGTAGGACCCTTCACAGGGCAACTGTGAGGCCTCCTGCTTTTCATTTAAGCTGGAGGTGCTCAGTGACACACATCTCCCCTAAGTGCTTTTAGGTTATTCAGAGAGAGTCTCAGGCCTATGTCAGGGTCACCTGCTGGAGGTCCCTCCCTACAGGACACCTAGACCTTAGGAGGCAAGCCACACTCCCAGCCCAGACATCAGTCCCCCACTACTGCCACTGTCCCTCCAGAAAGAGCTTCTGAAGCTAACCCAGTTGTGATCACTCATTCCAGAGCCCGTCTTCCTCCCTGCCGTCCTTGCCCTCCTCCTGCCCTTAGCATGAAGCTGTGGAGACTGCAGAGGCCAGTCACCTCCTCTGTGGAGGTTGCAGAGGCCAGTCACTTCCTCTATGAGGCTGCAGAGGCCATTCACCTCCCCTGCAGAGGCTAGTATCCTGCTCTGTGCTGCTGACTTGGCTGACTTGGCTCACACTCCAGTGGGGCTCCTGGGTCTCAGCTAGTTTCCTCACATTTATTCCCTTCAGTCTTCAGCCACTTGGGGCAGACATTCATCAAGTACGGTTGCCTTGGACAGCAGCGAGCCTGGTTGTATGTCTTAGCATGGCTAGGCTCAGGCATGGTGGGGTGGCAGTAAATAGTGCCCTTGGGGAGCAGTACCCTCGAGAGTAAGTTCTGGATGTGGATGGGAGTCAGGAGCCTTACCTTGCCCTCTTGTAATGGATGGTGCATCTGTCACTGCTGTTTCCAGTGAGCCTGGTGGTGCAGTGGGTGGATGTCACACGCCTGGAGAAGAATGCCACTCTGCTCTTCCCCGAGAGCATCCGCGTGGACACCCGGGACCAGGAGCTCTTCTTCTCCATGTTCCTCAACATTGGTGAGACCTTCAAGCTCATGGAACAGCTGGCCAACCTGGCCATGCGACAGCTGCTGGACAGTGAGGGCTTCCTGGAGGACAAGGCTCTGCCCAGGCCCATCCGGCCACACAAGAACATCTCAGCTCTGAAGCGGTATGCCACCCTCCTGGGAAGTGGGATGATCCTACAGTGATAATGGCCCCCTTGGGTCAGGTCCACTAACCCTGCTTGGCACCCGGCATGTGGCACATCAGTGCACATGGAGAGAGTCTATACATTCAGCCTTCACAGGCCCCCTGCTTGGGAAGGAGGCCAGCATCAGACCATTGCAGTAGCACATTGGGAGAGCCACAGATTCCCACCAGTGAAGAGGAAGTACCTCATGCTGTTTCTCACAGCTGAATGGTAGGAAGGTACTCTTACCATCTCTAGGCATCAGGTCAGGACACTGAGTGGTAGAGAGGTCCCTTAACTAGGAAGCAGTGGAGCTAGGATGTGAGCCACCTTAGTCAGGGTATGCCAAGATCCCCAGGAGGCTGCATCTAGAAGACTTTGGTGAATAAGTGTTTGTGGTATACAGCCTCCACCCACTGAGATGGATATAGAGGACCTTCACCACCATGGTCTGAATTCTCAGGTCACTGCCAGTCTGTCCTTGGGGGTGGTCAAGAGGTGGATCACAGGGGCCAGCACTGCACATCTCTTCTGTTTGAGCCCCAGGTTTCAGCTTCACAGGAAATCCACACATTTGGCTGAGTCCATAGAAGTTTCATTGGTGCCACAGCCAGGGTGAGCACTGCTGGTGTGTTCAGAGACCTCCTCCTAACCAGACTATTTCTTGGGCTGCACCCCCAGACCAAAGCATAGCCCCATAGTGCACCTTCTAGACCAGAACATTATGCAAGGATGTCACTCTCCTGATGGCAGTGACAGGTGGACCTTCCAGAAAGAAAAGAAGTGGGGCTGGAACTTGCAGTAGTGTCCAGCACTGTCAGCCAGGGTTCGTGGACAGGCTCTGGTCAGGGTGCATGGTCATCCCTTGGTCAAGCTGCTGGCAGCCAAGGGTAGATGAGAAGTTCACTTGGGAATGAGGAAGGTATGTCTATGTGGACATAGCCCCTGAAGAGGCCAGATCAGGCCACCGTCCACAGCCATCAGTCATGAAGTATTTCTGTTCATGACAGCCAGCATACATTTTTGGTTTAGGGCTGCTCCTCCCTAGTGGGAGAGCTTGTCTGGGTTTCAAGGTGGAGTTAGTTCTTCTCAGGGTAAAGAAACTTCCTCAAGGCCAATGACATGCTGGACCTGAGCCAGGCTGGGTACAGGTAGGAACTGCCTGTCCTTCAGTACCAAGCGGCAGAGTCTCTAAAGTCCTCCCTCTCAAGGTAGTCAAGTCTCAAGAGAACATGCGTGACCCCTCCCCCAATGGGTTTATGAAAAATCTCAGGTTTTGGGGGGTTTTTTGGATGGGGAGAGGATGCTTATTTGTTTGCTTTAATATTTTATTTATTATTTTCATTTCATGTGCATGAGTATATTGCCTGCATGTGTGTAAGTGTACCCATGTCATGCAATGCCCTCAGAGGTCAGAAGAGGTTGTTGGATTCCCTTAGAACTGGAGTTACGGACAGTTGTTAGCCACCATGTGGGTCCTGGGAATTGAACCTGGATCCCTTGCAAGAGCAGCCAATAATCTTTACTGCTGAGCCATCTCTCCAGCCCATTTGTTTTTGAGACAGGGTCTCTTTGTAACTCCAGCTAGCCTAGAACTCCCTATGTAGACCAGGCTGGCCTTGCTCTCACAGAGCTCTGCCTGCCTCTGTCTCCCAGGTACTGGGATTAAAGGCCCCACTGTGCTTACTAAAATCCCACTTTTTTTTTTTTTTTTTTTTTTTTTTTTTAAAACTCCATTTAAAAAAAAAAAAAAAAAAAAACAAATTTTTAAAAAAAAAAAATTTTTTTTTTGCTCATTTAAGGCACATGAATGTCTTGAACTCAAATATTCCCAGGCCTGACTTGCTCACTGGTAGTCCCCAAGGAGCCTGACTCCAATGTGGAAACTGAGGAAACTCTTGTTCACCCTCTTCCAACTTTGTTTCTTCAGAGACCTGGATGCCCGAGCCAAAAATGAGTGCTACCGGGCCACATTCCGGCTGCCCAAAGATGAGCGGCTGGATGGCCACACAGGCTGTACCCTGTGGACGCCATTCAACAAGCTGCACATCCCCGGTCAGATGTTCATCTCCAACAACTACATCTGCTTCGCCAGCAAGGAAGAAGACGCATGCCGCCTCATTATTCCCCTCAGAGAGGTGAGCATCTGCAGCCCAGTGGCCCCGGCCAGTGCTGTTGGGTCAGAGCTCTGCAGCTGCTCAGTAGAGGCTGACTCATCCCCACACCTGCTTCTTGGTGCCCCAGCCAGGTTGCTCACACACCTTAGCAGCCAGCTCCATGATGTGCCCAGTGGACTCTTGGGTTTCACGCCTAGTCATGCCCTTCACACCCTTCCCTCACAAAGTGACATTCTGCCACCAGTCTGCCTAGATAAAATCAGAGTCATCCTTGATTTTCACTACTTCCTTGTTCCTGCGTCCTAACCAGAGACATGTGGTCAGGACTCCCTCCAGAGTCCTTCTCTTCTCCACAACCACCACCTAGGACACCTGAGGAAGGTCCTAACCATACCTAATCCCTTCAGACATATCCTTCCAGCACACCCGGCAGAATTGAAAATGTCAGAGTGTGGTGACACCCTGCCTAGCATGCTCCAGCATCTTCTCCTTATGGTTAGAAAGCCCCCAATGCTTCTTGTAATCAGTGAGACCTTTAGTAAGCCATCTGCCCACCTCAGGCCTCCACACAGACCCCACACATGGTCACACATACATAGTCACTCACAGATACACACGTATATACACACATCACAGATACTGTACACAGACCTGTTTCCAACATACATATATATCCACCACAGATACACACTACATAACATACTTGCACATACTTAAATACCACATACTCATGTCTCACACGTGTTCACATACATGCATGTACACACACTCATATATATTTATATAATCTCACATTAAATGTTACACATCCCAAGGTAATCTCTGTCTCTCTCTCTCTCTCTCTCTCTCTCTCTCTCTCTCTCTCTCTCTCTCTCTCTCTGCATCTTGCCCTCTCCTACTCAGTCCACTCCAGCTTTTATAACCTCTCCAGATAGTCTCACTCTCACCCCCACCTCAGAGTGGTTGCTGTGCCTCTGCCCCATCTCTTCCCCGAGCTCCTCACCTGGCAAGATAGAGGTCACAGCTCAGTCACTACCTTCCTAGAGACATGTTCAGCAAAAAGCAGCCAGTGACCTAGCCTGCCCTGTGGCCAGCACTTACCCCTTGTGATGAGGCCAAGCCTATGTTCCCACTGTCCCACTGGGGCTGGGCCCTACAGAGGCACCCACTGAAAGCCCATCCCATGCCCTTACACCTGGTCCACTTTCTGCACACCTTGCAATCAGAGCTGAGCTTTGGGACAAGCTGTCAGAAAGTGTTCTCTGGAGGCTGGGTGTGGTGGCACTAGCCTTTATCCTCAGCACTCAGGAGGCAGAGGTAGGTGGATCTCTGTGAGTTCAAGGATACCCTGATGTTTCCTGGCAACAAGGGGCTGCTCACATGCTTCTGGGGACAAGGCTAACTGGTTATCTTTTGAAAACCGGGTTGGGGCCAGCAACTGAGCTAAGCATTTACATTGACATCATCCCTCTGCAAGGCCAATGTACTCATCCCTGTCGACACATATACGTGTAATGCCCAAGTGCCTGCTCTCATTCCCACAGGTGACCATTGTCGAAAAAGCCGACAGCTCCAGTGTTCTGCCAAGCCCTCTGTCCATCAGCACCAAGAGTAAAATGACCTTCCTGTTTGCCAACCTGAAAGACAGGGACTTCCTAGTTCAGAGGATCTCCGACTTCCTGCAGAAAACGCCATCCAAGCAGTCAGGAGGCAGCATAGGGGACATGAAAGCCAGCATTGTTGACCCCGCCCGAGAGGTGAGGAAGCCCCTTGGGAGCAGCATGACCAAATGAAGAGCCTCCAGGTGCAACCATTGACCTCCTCCCTGAGCCCTACCTGTGTTGCATGCTGTGGGCCCTGGGTTGGACGGTGACTCATAGCCTCTAGTACACAGAGACCAGGGATGCTGCTGAGCATCCTGCAGTCACAGAACAGCCCCACTACAAAATTAGTCAAGCTGAGTACAGAATCTTACAGCACGGGTAACACATGCCTGTGATCCCAGGTGAGATAGGAGGGTCACAAGTTCAGAGCCAGCCTAGGCAATTTAGTGAGCTCCTGTCTGGAAAAAGCAAGGGCTTTAGCCAGGCATGGCAGTGCACGCCTTTAATCTCAGCACTCAGGAGACAGAGGCAGGTGGATCTCTGTGAGATTAGGAGGGGGCAGCCTGATCTACATAGTGAGCTCCAGGACAGCTGGGGCTATAGGAAGACCCTGTTTCAGAAAAAAAAGGAGTGGGAGGATAGGGATGTAGCGTGCACAAGGCCCTGATTTCCACCCCTAGCAATACCAAAAGTCGAAAGGGGCTATGAGGCTTAGGAGGGTAGTACTGCCCTACCTTTACAAGGCCGGCATGGTGGCCTAGACTTCCCAAGCACTCATTGGTTTGTCCAGCATGTCGTCACTGCAGTCCTGTTAGGTACCAGCTGTTCTTCCAGGACCTATGAACAGAGCAATGAACAGATCAGACAGAGCTCATGCTCTTGGGCTCAGCATGGTGGCACATCTGTAATCCCAGCACCTAGAAGGCAGACGCAAGAGGGTCACTACAAGTTCAAGGTCAGCCTGGTCTATATAGCAAGTTCCAGACCAGCCAGGGCCACATAGAGAGACCCTGTCTCAAAAATTTATACTCTCTTAGAATTTATACTGGGGGGAGGGGGCTGGAGCAATGACTCAGGAGTTAAGCATGCTTCCTGCTCTTCTAGCGGACCTGAGTTCATTTCCCAGCACCCATGTCAGGCAGCTTACAACTATTTCTAACACCAACTTCAGGCGATCCAATACTACTTCTGGCTTTTGCAGGTACTTACACATGTGGGTGTGTGAGATACATGAATAAAAAAATCTTAATAAAAATTAAATAAAAACTGGATCCCTTGAAATTCTATAGGAAATGGAGGTTGGATTTTTTTGTTTCTACCAAAAGCAAAAACAAAACCAAAATAACCTTTAGGGCTGGCAAGGTGGCTCAGCAGGTAGACACTTGCCCCAAGCTTAATGACCTGAGTTTGATCCTTGGAGTCTGTATCATCATGGAAGAAGAGAAGTAACTCCCACAAGTTGTCCTCTGACCTGCACACAAGCATCATCACACATACACACACACACACACACACACACACACACACACGTGCACGCGCGCAATATGGAGACAGCCTCAGGTTCATGGCCTCCTCCTGCATGCATGCTTAATATGACAGGAAACTTTTAAGATTTTACTTCTATTTTATGCATGAGTCTTTTACCTACATGTATGTAATTGTACCATGTGTGTGCCTGGTGCTCTTGGACACCAAAAGAGGATGGCACATCCCCTGGAACTGGAGTTAAGAATGGGTGTTAGCCACCACATGGGTACTGAGAACTGAACCCAAGTCCTCTGCAAAAGCAGCAAGTATTTCTCTAGACCCTTAAGACCTATTTTTATTTTTTATATGTGTATTTGTGAGCATGTGCTACATGTGTGCACGTGGCTGGGGAGGCCAGAAGTGGGCTTCAGAGTCCCTAGAGCTGGAATTACAGGAGTTGTGAGCCACCCAGCTTAATGTGACAGGACAGGAGTTCAGGAGGAGCAGGGCAACACCAGGTCTCCCTCCTGGACTCTGATCTTACTGAGAGAAGAGCCAGTTCCCTGTGAAAGGCCCCTTGCTAGTGTGGGTGACTTTGGTTTCAGGAAGGACAAATGTAGGTATCCAGCCTGCCAGAGAAGAAATGCAGATCGGGCCCCATCTGCAGCCTCCCACTTAGCCAGGCCACTGTACTGTGCCCCACTCACCCTTGGTGGTGTTTTTGTCTGACTATATGGATGGGGGTATACATCAGAGGCCCACCAGAAAGCTCAGGCGTTAGGTACTTTACCTTCCTGTTTTATTTTCTAGTCTCTCCCAGCTCCTCAGGAGGCGCTAGACCTACCCACCAGCCCGTCCTCTCCCCTCAGCTGCCCCCTGAGTTTCAGTGCACAGGAGGTGCCTACTGCTTCCCAGGGCCTGCTCAAAGTCTTCCAGAGAAACTCCCCCATGGAGGACCTCGGCGCCAAGGGGGTAAGCCTTGAGCTCTTCAGCACATGCCTCAGCTGAGCCTTAGGAGGAAGGCTGGAGCCACATCTGGGCTGTGCCTCCGTGGCCCTTGTGGCTCTTCAGGATATGTGTGCTCTCTGGTCTGCCCTCAGCAGTGTCAGCTGGACCAGGGAGGCTTGGGGACAGCCACTCTGCCTGCCCTGTGTGGGAGTTGCACTGTTCTTCCGGGGCTCTGGGCCTCTAAAAGGAACATACATCGCTGCTGAGATGGGATGGTGGGGGGCTCCTGCATCTTCACCCTCTTTACCTGTAATGGCCTTGAAACCTGAGCTTGCTAATTGCACTTCCCAGGTAGTTCACATAACAGGCTTCTGCCCTTGCTCAGAGAAAAGATGGAAAGTGTTGCCACCTAGGCCTCAGCACTCTGAGGCACTCCAGCCCCACGCCCCAAGTTTCCTTTTCTCTCAGGCCAAGGAGAGGATGAAGGAGGAATCGTGGAACATCCACTTCTTTGAGTATGGACGTGGCATGTGCATGTACCGCACAGCCAAAACTCGAGAGCTGGTCCTGAAGGGCATTCCTGAGAGCCTCCGCGGAGAGCTGTGGCTCCTTTTCTCTGGTGAGTGGCCCTACTTCCCCCAGCTTTGGCTTGGCCAGTTTTGGTCCCCAGAGTTCTCCATATGATGGGCTGGGTTGAACATGTGCATAAGTAAGTGTGAGACCCTGAGTCCAATCCCTAGCACCAAAAGAAAAACTTTTGGGGCATAGTGTTGCACATCTTTAATCCCAGAGGCAGAGGCAGGCAGATCTCTGTGAGTTCCAGGCCAGTCAGAACGACATGGTGAGACCCTGTTTTTAAAAAAAAGAAAAAAAAAAAGAGCAGCCAGGCGTGGTGGCACCCGCCTTTAATCCCAGCACTCCAGAGGCAGAGGCAGTGGACCTCTGTGAGTTCAAGGCCAGCTTGGTCTACATAGTGAGTTCCAGGACAGCTGGGGCTACAGGACGACCCTGTCTCACAAAGCCAAAAAAAAAAAAAAAAAAAAAAAAAAAGATAAAATTAAAAGTCAGGCAGTTTTTCTGGGTGTGGTAGCACATGCCTGTAGTCCCAGCACTTAGAGGAGAGGCAGGCGGATCTCTGAGTTCAAGGCCAGCCTGGTCTACATAGTGAGTTCCATACTACAGGGAGACCCTGTCTCAAAACACCAAAAACAAACAAACAAACAATAACAACAACAACAAGAAACCCCAAGAAACAAAGAGTCAGGCTGTTTTATTCAGGTCATTGTAATGTTGGCATAGTGATGTTGCAAAAGCCCAAGTCCAGAGTCCTAGGTGCCAGGATGGTGCTGTCAGTATGTGGCACCCTCCTGTCCTCAATGGGAGGCAGGAAGACTCCTTTGAAGCCTATGTTCCTTGGGACAGGCTCTGATCGTATTCACACCTTGGCTTACATGGAACATTTCAGGAGACAGGCAAGTTAGCCATTTGAACTTCCTGGTCAGAGTAACCCTTTTTCAGGGGCAGTCACCAAGGAAACTTGGCCTCACACCTTATAATTGCTTGCAGAGTTTGCCTCTCCCCCATCAGGGCCTCATGTCTCCAATCTACCCTGTGACTTACTATCTCCCAAGCACTGGGAGGGAGAAAGACAGCTGCCACATGTGTCTCCCCAGGGGCCTGGAATGAGATGGTCACCCACCCTGGCTACTATGCTGAGCTAGTGGAGAAGTCCACAGGAAAGTACAGCCTGGCTACTGAGGAAATCGAGCGAGACCTCCACCGCTCCATGCCGGAGCACCCTGCCTTCCAGAATGAGCTGGGCATCGCTGCACTGCGGCGAGTTCTGACTGCCTACGCATTCCGAAACCCTACGATTGGCTACTGCCAGGTAAAGGAGCCTTGTAGAGGCTCAGAGATAGCATCTCCCAGCACAGTCTCCCAGGAGCAGGTGCCTATAACCTGGGCCTGGGGAGGCTCCACACACCTGTGACCCTTCTCCTCCACTTGGGAAGGACCCTAACTCAGGAAAAGATGGAATTTAGCCAGGCATGCTAGCTCATGCCTATAATCCTAGCACTTGGAAGTCTGAGGCAGAAGGATTGCTGCAAGTTCAAGGTTCACCTAGGATACAAAGCAAGACTCTGTCTCAAAAACAAGGGGCTGGAGAGATGGCTCAGGGGTTTAAGAGCACGGGCTGCTCTTGCAGAGGACCTACGTTGGGTTCCCAGCACTCACGTGGTGGCTAACAACCATCCATAACTCCAGTTAGAGGGAATCCAATGTCCTCTTCTGGCCTCCATAGGCATTGCATGCGCATGGTGCACTTACATACATGCAGGCAATATATTCATACACATAAAAATAATAATTTCTTTAAAAAAATAATGAAAATAATGGTAATTGTATTCTTTGTATGTATGGGAAAATATGCATAATATACCATTTTAGCCACTATTAAGTATGCAGTTCAGTGACATCGAGTACATACACATTGTGGGGCAGCTCTGTCACCACTGTCCATCCAAAGAACTTTTCATTTTCCCAAACTGAGACTGCACCCATTAAGCACTAATTCTGTACACTTGATTAGTCTATGAACCTCATGATTCAAGTAGAGTCATACGATAGCTATCCTCTTTTTTTTTTTTTGAGACGGTCTCATGTACCCTAGGCTGGCCACTCACTATGTAGCCCTGGCCTGCCTGGAACTCTCACTACATAGGCCAGGTTGGCCTCCAGCTCACAGAGACCCCCTACCTCCTGAATGCTGGGTTACAGGCTTATGCCACCATATCTGGCAATATTTATCCTTTTGTATCTGGCTTTTCACTTAACGTCCTTAAGATTCATCCATATTGTAGCATGCATCAGAATTTCTTTTCTTTTTAAGGGCTGAATGATATTCTATTGTAGCTAAATACCACATTATGTCTGTCCATCTGTTGATGGTCATCTGAGTTACTTCCACCTTTTAACTATTGTGAACAAACTGCTATGAGTTTAAGTGCACAAATGCCTGTTCCAGGCTCTAGCCCCAGCAGACCTGGACTCACTATGTAGACCAGGCTGGTCTGGAACTTACAGAGATCTGCCTGCCTCTGCCTCCCAAGTGGTGGGATAAAGGCATGTGCCACCTGACTCTTATGTTCAACTTTTTGAGATGCGTCCACATTCCCACAGCAGCTGCACCATCTAGCATTCCCACCAGCAGCTCACATGGTTCTCCCTTCTCTACTTTGTCTCTAACACTTGCTCTTTTCCACAGGGCATGAGTTCGGTAGACTCTCACTGTGGTTTTTATTTATCTTTCTGGTGGCTTTTGTCTTTAAATCTAGTGGACATTTTCCTACCAGATCAATAGCTTCCTGTTGGCCTTAACTTGTGTCTGGATTTCAAGGAAACCAGTTCCCTAAAAGCCACCTACTATAGAACCAGTGTTCCATGTGACATGTGACCAGTTTGTAGAAGCCAGCAGATTGGCTTAAAATAATTTTTAAAAACTAAGCCACCTGCTTTGAAACTTCTTTTTACTATCAGCTAAGGGTTGTATGCACTCCCAGCCTCCCTGCAGGCTCCTGGCACACTCCCCACAACGGCTTAACCCTGGCTCCCTCTCCAATCCCACCGCTCAGCGGAAGTGTTTGCTAATGTCTCTGTTTTCCTGATGCCTTCTGACCCAGTTTGAAGGGGCTGGCTGGTGTCTCTGTCTGATTGATTTCCTGAGAATTTGTTTGTTGGCAGATTTCCCAGAGTTGGTCAGGGACAGTTTCTTGTAGCTAGATGCTAGGGGCAGACTTTCAGATAGAGGCCTGTGCGGGGAGGAGACCGTTTTGCTCTGTGGCCTGCAATGTGACACACACACCACTGTTTCTGCCTGCAGGCCATGAACATTGTGACCTCAGTGCTGCTGCTCTATGGCAGCGAGGAGGAAGCCTTCTGGCTCCTGGTGGCCCTGTGTGAGCGCATGTTGCCCGACTACTACAACACCAGGGTGGTGGGTGAGTGTCCCCAGTTGCCTGACCCTCCATCTGCCCAGTAGCTCCGTCCCTTTCCCGAGCCAGGCTCCACCTTGACCAGTTCCCACTGGAACTCCCATATGCCTCTCAGCCATCCTGCAGGCCACCTAACAGACTAGGGAACTGAAAAAGGATCTCACAGACAAGAAATGGGTGGCCAAACAGACCCCCAGCCCTCTGCCTCCAGGGTCCAGGATCCCCTCCAAACTCTGAGTTCTCAGATGGCTAGAGTGAGAGTTAGAAGACAGCATGTATTTGGTGGGTTTTTAAAAGACCACATGCCAGGGCCTGGAGAGATGGCTCAGCGGTTAAGAACAATGGTTGTTCTTGCCAAAGACCCAGGTTCGAATCCCAGCAGCTAACAACTGTCCGTAACTCCAGTTCCAGGGGATCCAATGGCTTCTTCTGCCCTCGTGGGCATTGCACGACTCGGGTGTACTTACCTATATGCAGGCAATACACACATAGACATAAAAATAATAATAATAAAATTTTTTTTTAAAGTCCACATGCCTGCTGGGTGTGGTGGTGCACACTTTTGATCCCAGCACTCAGGAGGCAGAGGCAGGTGGATCTCTGAGAGTTCAAGGTCATCCTCGTCTACATAGAAACTTTTAGCCAGCTGCAGCTTCAAGGAGATCCTGTCTTTTTTTTTTTTAAATATTTATTATTTTTATTTTATGTATATGAGTGTTTTGCCTGTATGTATGTGAGTGCACCCGTGTCGTGCCTGCCAAGCCATCTCTCCAGCCCCCGAGATCCTGTCTTTTAAAGAAACAAACAAGTAAATAAATAAATAAATAAAACTAAATTCCACCTGGAAGGGACTAGAGAGATGGCTCAGCAGTTAAGAGCATACACTACTCTTTCAGAAGGCTTGAGTTCAGTGCCCAGCACCATATCAGCTCACAACCACCTATACTCCAGCCCCAGGGGATCCGATGCCCTCTTCTGGCCTCCATGGATACTTGCACTCACACATCCACTTTCACACACACATATACACATAATTAAAACTAAAAATAAGGTTTTTGGCGGGGGAGGGTCTTTCTTTGGGTCTTTTTCTTTTTCTACAGGGTCTCCCTGTAGCCCCAGCTGTCCTGGAACTCACTATGTAGACTAGGCTGTCCTTGAACTCACAGAGATCTGCCTGTCTCTGCCTCCCAAGTGCTGGGATTAAAGGTGTGCACCACCATGCTCAGCTAAAAATAAGACTTTTAAAGAAAATTTTTAAGAAGGAAGTGGACTTACAAATGGATTTTCTCACATATGTATTTAACTCTAGGACGACCTCCCCTATACTTTCTTTCTAGGGTCGTCATCCTTGCTGTCCTTTGTTTACCTTTGTATGTGTCCACAAGCATCAGGCCAGGTAACAAGCCACCGAAGCCACTGCTTGCTTCCGATGTTTCTAGGGAAAGAAATTAGTGTTTCCAAAAGAAAATGCAGTCAGCCTTTCTCTGTCTCTAGATTATACATCCATGGACTCAACCAAGCATTGACCAAAGATATTCAGGAGGAAGAACTTCATCTGTACTGAACATACATAGACTTTTTTTTCCCCCTTCTCATTCTTCCCTAGATAACACAGTATAAAACTATTCATAGCATTATACCACAGTGGGCATTATGAGTCATCTAGAGGTGATTTAAAGTGTGCAGGAGGGTGTGCATAAGTCCTGTGAAACCACTGTGCACTGCCTGCTCTGAGCATTGGACAACTCTGCTGTCTGAAGGGATGCTGAAACTATGCCTGTGGGTGCCAAGGGGCCACTGTACCTTAGAACAAATCTTTTTTTTTTCACTGTGATATGGAAACTATAGAAAGAATTATTACAAAGATTCTTTTTCTGTTTTCTATGTACAACCCCCCCCCGACCCTCACTGTAAGCAGAGCTGGCAGGTCCAGAGGTAGATAAGAACCAGTGGGGTCCTATAGGGCATCTCCTTGAGGACCTGGAACTGGACTCATACTTGGCCTCCTGTCTCGTTTTCAGGAGCCCTCGTGGACCAAGGCATCTTCGAAGAGCTCACAAGAGACATCCTACCCCAGCTTTCAGAGAAGATGCAGGACCTAGGGGTGATCTCCAGCATCTCGCTGTCCTGGTTCCTGACCCTCTTCCTGAGCGTCATGCCCTTCGAGAGTGCTGTGGTCATTGTTGACTGCTTCTTCTATGAAGGCATCAGGGTGGTCCTGCAAGTGGCCCTGGCTGTGCTGGATGCCAACATGGAGCAGCTGCTGGACTGCAGCGACGAGGGCGAGGCCATGACGGTGCTGGGCAGGTAACCAACTGGGCGGGGGCTCCTCGTGCTGGGCAGGTAACCAAGCTGGTGTTCCTCCTGCTGCCAAGGAGCTGGCAACAGACCCCAACCCCTTCCCAGCCCTCAGTCAACATCCAGTGCCATGTCCCCAAGTATCAGACTAAGTGGAGGGATCCAGGGGCAGGAGAGAACTTTACAGGTGGGAACCCAGAGTACTCAGAGTGGTTAGAGCTGGGAGAGACTGAAGACGCCAGTGGGCCAGAGCACACTGGCTGCAGACTTCCACTCAAGTGTGTGGTCTCAGAGAACAGACCCAGAGCTGAGAGTCGGTGGTGATAGCAGTCCTGTTGGTGGTCAGGAGATGGTGGCACAGCAAGGTCTCCAACCTCTAGCCCAGGCTAGGCAGCTTTCTCTACACTAAGCTGTCTGGCCGTCCCCTCCAAGCTCAGCAGCACCACTCTCTCCCCAGACAGAGGAGGCTTGCAAGACAGCTGAATGAGACTGACTCACAAAGTTCAGGTTCACCTGGCTCCCTCTCCTGGTCCCCATACCTCATCTACCCTAGGTTCTACCTGGAATCCAGCCTCTTATTCACCCCCACTGCCTCAGCATATAGCCTCTTCCTTGGGCCTGACCTGCTTCTTCAGGGGACTTCTGTTCTAGTCCTTCCCAGTAACCCCCCAGATCTACCCCATCTTTAGGCATGGGGAAATCCCCCTGTTGTGGTTGCCTTCTGTACAAAGAAGTTGCCCAAGTTCCCCAGCCTGGCCTTCACCTCATTCCCCATTGGGCCTCAGCCTGGCCTTCAAATCACTACTCATTGGGCCTCAGCCTGGCCCATGCCCTGAGCTCCATATGGCCCAGTTTGGAACACTCCTGGCCACCAAGGATAGCCTAGGTCACTGCACTTACCTGGAGACCTGGCAGGGTTGCTCCCTCCCTCCTCTCCTCTGACCTAACTCTTGGTCCCCTGACATCAGGACAGTCAGTTGTGACCACAGTTGAACCTGGGTTTCATGCCTCTGTCCCTGCAGTGAAGAGAGACTGAGCCCTCCTGAGGAGCTGGTGTCCTACTGGACATGATTGACAATGCCATTGGGAAGGGTAGGAACTAGAGCGCCTCTCTGACCTGAGTGTCAGTCATGCTCATCCTGGAAAGCCTAGGCTAGCTAGCCAAAGCAAGACCCTGCCCCCAAGACTGTCCTGGAGGAGCGTAGCATGTCCTTACCCCTCAATTTTCTCCTGGGATTCCATGCTTCTCCCTGGCCAGGCTCTCGTGACCCATCAGAGAGGAAGCACATTGTCCGCACAATAAGGTAGGCTCTGGAATCCATGGGGCTCCCAGAAGAGAGCCTAGCACCCTCAGAGTTAGAGCTTAGGCCTCAGTGGGCAGGGAGGCCTTTTCTCCATTCCCTGAAGAACTCCCCAACCTGCTGGGGCACACTGGGGCACACCACCACCTGCCTGCAGGATCCCCAGCTCTTGGCTCTGCCCCAGCTCTTAGCTATGGCTGACATACTCTGGTTGGAGGTAGCCTAGATCACTTTCCTTTGATCTTTGCAGATACCTAGACAATGTGGTGAACAAGCAGAGTGTCTCTCCTCCTATCCCACACCTCCATGCTCTGCTGACCAGTGGAGATGAGCCTCCTGCAGAGGTGGACATCTTTGACCTCCTGAAAGTGTCCTATGAGGTCAGCTCCCAGCATGGTCATCCTGGCCACACTGTTTCCCTATGGCCTTTAGTTTGGGGTAGGCACAGGCAAGTGCGGCAGGGGACTATGCCCTCTGCCATTGGCCTCACCGATTCACCTTCGGCCTGTAGAAGTTCAGCAGCCTGAGGGCCAACGACATTGAACAGATGCGGTTTAAACAGAGGCTGAAGGTGATCCAGTCTTTGGAGGACACAGCCAAGAGAAGCGTGGTACGGTCACTGGTGAGGTGGATGGTAATCCCTGGTACACTGGGCTACAGGGCTGGCCTGAGTAGGCTACTTTTGCTGGGGCCCTCTCCAATGCCCCTCCCAGAGGTGTGCAGGGCCCCACTTTTGCCCTGTCCCTGGCGCTGCCTTGGTACCTTTGTCATAGCCAGGATGCTGTGTGGGCCTGGAATCCTACAGAGTGGGTAAAAGTCTTGGTCAGTAGGGAGAGGCCCTGGGCACTTCTGGTCCTGGTTACTTAGAGAGAAGTACCTTTCACCTCCTACCCTGAGGCCAAGCGTCTTCTGAGCCAAGTCCTCCCAGCCTGGCTTTGCCATGGGTTCCTCCTCCCAGCCTGGCTTTGCCATGGGTTCCTCCTCCCAGCCTGGCTTTGCCATGGGTTCCTCCTCCCAGCCTGGCTTTGCCATGGGTTCCTCCTCCCAGCCTGGCTTTGCCATGGGTTCCTCCTCCCAGCCTGGCTTTGCCATGGGTTCCTCCTCCCAGCCTGGCTTTGCCTGAGCCAAGTCCTCCCAGCCTGGCTTTGCCATGGGTTCCTCCTCCCAGCCTGGCTTTGCCATGGGTTCCTGCTTCTGCTTGAGGGCAGTGACACATGCCTGTGGGAAGCCTCTGCCACCTTGTGCTCTGTTTAAACCTGGTCATGGTCTCTGCCCTGGGGAGGCGGGGACCTTGTACTTTGCCTCCATTTTTTCCAACGCTTCTTCAGGGTTCTAGGACTTTCAGGGAAATTCGCCCTGAGCAATGGACACAACCAATTCTGGCTAGCTGAAATAAAAAGATTTGACTGGCAAGTTATAAGAGCCTTCCAAAGAGACCCCTCCCAGGCAGCTAGAGCTAAGTAGTCATCCATCACCTTATCTCCCTCAACTGGGCCTCTGGGAGAGAATGAGCCCTCCAGCGCCCATCCCAGGAAGAGGCTCAGGAGTGGGAACTGACTGGCAGGTGGTGGAGAGTGTGAGCATGTGAGTGCACCCTTTCCTGAGTGGACCCACCTTTACATGTTTGGCCGCTGGTGACCAAAAAAGGACAGATCAGGCCTCTGGCCCTGTGCACCTGAGAACTCTCCCAGAACAAGCGTCGTCTCATACTGCAGTAGGCTCTTAGTTCAGCCATTTTCATCTTTCCTTCCAGGTTCGGGCCATTCCAGGGGACATTGGCTTCTCAATCGAAGAGCTGGAGGACCTTTACATGGTGTTTAAGGTGACAACCAAGAGCAAGGGCAGGACAAGTACCCAGGGTAGCCCCCTACGTGCATCCTCAGAACAGCAGCTCCCTGCCAGGAGAGATGTCAGTTGTCCAAAGTTACAGTTACTGTGAACTACATGTGGTAGAATTTAATCCTTGGCATTTAGAACACGTGTGTGTGTGTGCGCGTGTGTGCATGTGTGTGCATGTGTGTGTGCGTGTACTGCGTGTGTGTATGTGTGCATGTGTGTGCGTGTGTGTGTGTGTGCGTGTGCATGTGTGTGTGTGCACTTACTTGCACATGTGGGTGTAAAGGCCAGAGAACAACCTCAGGTGTTTTTTGAAACAGTCTCTAGCTCACCATGTAGACTAGGCTGACTGACCAGTGAGCCTCAGGATCCTCCTGTCTACGCCTCACAGCACTGGGATTCCAAGTGCATACCACCACACCCAGCTTTTTTAAAAAAAATCTTAGTACCATTTATTTATTGTATGTGTGGAAGTCAGAGGACAACTTGTGGAAGTCAGTTTTCTCCTTTCACTGTATGTCCCAGGGATCAAACTGAGGTCATCAGGTTTGGTGGCAAGCGCCTATACTCACTGAGCCATCTTGCCAACCCCACACACCCAGCTTTTTTACATGGGTTTTCAGGTATCAAAGTCGGGTTCTCATGCTTTCAGTTGGCTGACTACTATCGCCCCAGCTCCAGCAGAACACTCAGATGGCAGAAAAGATAGTCAAATGAGCTCACGTAGAAGAGGGAATACATGAGCTCATGTAATTGAACAGTTACACAGCTTGGCCTGGCTGAGTTCAGGCTCCCCCCTCCAACTGCCTCTAGGCTGCTCTTCTGTGAGAATGGCAGACTTGTCCTGAGCTGCTCCAGGGTCATGCTCTCAGGAACCCCAGTGGAAGTAGACTTTTCTTTCCAAGTAGTTTCTGCAAAAGACCTGGTGTCAGTCATTGGGGTGACAATCTAGGAACTGTAGGTAGTGGGCCAGTGATGGGGGGTGATTGCCACCCTTGTGATCCATTGGCCCAAGGGTGAATCAGGGTTTCTGCACACAAATCTTGGGTATATTAAAAGGAGGGAGAAGAGACTGAGGAAGAGGCTAGGACAAAAGTTCACTCTGCCCTTTAGTTGGTTGGGTTTGGGTTTTGATTTTGGTGGTGATGGTGGTGGTGGTGGTGGTTGTTGACTAATTGGTTGGGTGGGTAGATGGGTGTTTTGTTTTTATTTATTTTTGTGTTTTAAGTTGAGGTTTCCCTGTGTTGCCCAGGCTGGCCTTAAGCTGAACTCCTGAGGTCAAGTGATCTTCCTGCCTCAGCCTCCTGAGTGCGGGGACTGTGGGCACATGCCCACATGCATGCGGGGACTGTGGGCACATGCCATCACATGCAGCTGCCCCTCTGTTCTTGTTGCCATTCCCTGTGGTCCTCCCCAGCTGCCCAGAGATTCGGTTCCCAGGGTGGCCTTGGTGTCAGAACAGTAGAGCGAGGCCTGCCCCCTCACAGGCTGCCCAAGTGCTCTGTCTGTTGTGCACTAGCATGATGAGTGCTGCCTGTGAGGACTGAGGTTTTCCACCCTAAGACTGTGCAGATGTGGACAGAGCAGGATGGACACCCTGGTCATCCTAACAGCCAGGGTCCAAAAGGCTAGCTCACCAGAAGGTGTCCCCCACAGGCCAAGCATCTGGCGAGCCAGTACTGGGGTGGTAGCCGCACAGCAGCGGTCCACCGGGACCCCAGCCTGCCCTATCTGGAGCAGTACCGGATTGACGGGAGCCAGTTTCGGGAACTCTTCACCAGCCTGATACCCTGGGCCTGTGGCTCGCACACGTCCGTGCTGGCAGGCCGCATGTTCCGCCTCCTCGACCAAAACAAGGACTCACTGATCAACTTCAAGGAATTTGTGACAGGGATGAGTGAGTGTCTCCCAGCCTGCCTGGGCTAGAGACTGCCCACCTACCCTCTTACTAAATGCCTGCTCCTGATGCAGCCAGCAGAGGGAAGCCTTGAGCCTGTTGGCCCTTCACAGGGCACAGCAGTTTCTCTACTGGAGAGAAGCTAGAGTCCACTGGGAACCTTGTCCTACCCTGTCCTCTCTCCCTCCCTCCCTTAGCCTGGGGTTTCTGGCCCCAGAGGAAGGCTAAGTTCTTCCACAGGGTCCAAGGAAAGCAGGGGGCCCAGGGCTCATTCCAGCAGGCCTGGAGACCTGACTAGGGAGGAGCCAGGCCTGCCCAGGCTGTAAAGAGTCTCCACTAAAGCCCACAAGCAAGGGTGTGGGGACATGGCCTGCAGCATGGCTTTGGAACCCTCCTGACAATATGGCTTCCTCCCTGGCCTTCTCCACAGGTAGCATGTACCACGGGGACCTCACAGAGAAGCTCAAGGCACTCTACAAGCTGCACCTTCCCCCAGGTGAGAACCTCAGGCCACCTCCCATGGGCCTCTCACTAGTCCATAGTTGGAGAGGCACCACTGAACTACCAGCCTCTGGGACATTTGGCCCTTGAGGCAGCAGGTGAAAAGTGAGCTCCACAGAGAGGAGGCTGCCTGCCTGTGTCAGGGAGGGGCTGGGGTTGCGGTCTTCCCTAGTGGTCTGAACACAGGAACACAGGCGCGGGATGGGAAAGGGACATGGAGGAAGATTCCAACATGACCCAGAAGCTACAGCAGGACAGGAGCAGTGAATGGAGATGCCAGGGTGACACCAGGACCTTTAATTTGTCCTTAATTTCTCAAGGGTTTCTGTTTATCCTAAGAGTGTCAGCCTGGGCCACTGCCCTGTGGATCCTGCCATGTAGCCTCATGTGCATATGAGGGAGGCCCATTTCTGGCCTCTCTCAGTGCTAGAGCCATGGTCAGTGTAGACTGTTTCCTGTGGGCAGCTAGTTGAACCAAGGAGAGGCACTCACAGGAGCTGACCAGAGCCACAGCCCCAGAGTCCTGCAGTATGTGGCCAGAGGTCACCTGGCTCAGCAAGGGTGGCCACTGAGAGAGTCCACTAAGGAAGAGTCCCTTAGGAGTGATGGTTCCACTGGTTCACTGGAATTGCCCCAGGTTCCAGTACCCACCCCTGAGTTGCATGCAGTATCTGCCATCAGAACTCACCCAGAGCAAATGTTAGATCACAGAGCTGGGTGTCACACATGTCCACACAGCCCAGCCTCTCACTTGTCTGCAGCAGTGCCCAGACCTCTGACTAAAGCGCCACAAAGACTGCTTTGCTGGCACAGCTGAAAGGGCTGTGGGGCAGGGCTAAGCTGTGGGCCCACTTCTGGCCAGTGGAAGCCAGGAGACCTGGGCCACATCCCACAGTCCAGGGAATGTGGTGTGGCTGCCCCAACCTGAGCCACTTTAGCCTACTGTGCCTCAGCCAGGGCACTGGGACACTTTGGTTCTGGAGGACTGTGGGCCCTGCCACCCCTCCCTCTGTGTCCTGCACTGTTAACCCCCTCACTTGCTGCATGCCCCTCTGCACAACAGGGAGAATAGATCACATATACACGTAGAACCATAGGGATCTGCAACCTCAGGATGAGGCAGTTACAGCAGCAAATGAGTGGGACAGGCTGATCTGGCTTGATGCCAGAGTATAAAGTAAAAACAGCATGTCACATGGCATGGGAGTTGGAGGTCTGCCTGGGCTATAGTGTGAAACCCTGTCTCAAAAAACAACAAAAATGTGACCAGCTCCATTAAAACTTTAAGCAGATGTTAGAATTGAAGGTGCTGGGCCTGGAGGGGGATGATAGGAAGAAGGTGGTCTTTGACCAGGGTTCCAGGAGGTTTGTTTTGAGGAGGTATCACACTGTCTCCTGTCTACACTTGTTCCTTCTCTTGGAATACAGCTCTGATCCCAGAAGAAGCTGAGTCAGCCTTGGAGGCCACCCACTACTTCACAGAGGACAGCTCCTCAGAAGGTGAGCCACTGCAGAGACACCCGACATCCGATGCCACCAGCCTTGGCCCTGCAGCCCCATATTTCCACGGGGCCCTTGCAAGTGGCCCGCAGCCCCGCTGAGGACTCAGGGAGCATGCTGCCCTGGGGTGCTCCCTGGGAGGGCCCTATACACTTCCTGGGCTGGGTCGCCTCTGAAGAGGTTCTCAACTGCTGTTTCTCTTGTGTCTCTGTCTCCCTGGACCTGGGCTTCTCCCTCTGCCCTCCATGCCTCCTCTGCTGTACCTTCCAGCATCTCCTCTGGCCTCAGATCTGGATCTTGTCCTGCCCTGGGAGGCTCAAGGTCAGTCCCTGGAGGGCAGGGGCACTCCTTTGCCTCTAGACTTTGTCTTCTCTTTACTTAAAAGCCAGGAAGCTCTGTGCCTCAGAGACCCTCTGGTACTTCATCTTATGAGGATAAGTCCTGAGAAAGACCGAGAACCAACCTGTTCCTGGTGAAGTGGGTGGCTCGTGTGTCTGCTGTGGATAGTTAATAATGAGGATGCTCACACTGGACGTGGAGCAGGCCCTGAGCATCACCTCTGCACCCACATGCAAAAAGTCTCATGTTCATAGGAAAGGAATGCAAAATGCTGTCATTGTGACCATGTGAGACAGGCACAGTGTGGGAGAGTGGAGGCCAGAGGGACCGACAGAATTTCTCCTTGGAAAACATCTTCAAGTCCACAGCATTTTTCATTACAAAAAAAATACTTAGGATGAGCAACTGATAGAACTCAGTCTCTGCCACAGGTAAAGCTCATTGAAAAATATCTGACCAAGGTGAGGGACCATTCTGGGCCTTGGGATTTGGCAACTGAGCTGGTCGCATGTAATACAGAACTGACCATAGCTCCATGGTTGAACACTTGATTAGCATATGTGAGATCCCCAGTTCCATCATACTACACTGGGAATGAAACCTAGAGTATGACACTGAAAAAATGAAAAACCCTAACCAGGTATAATGGTACATGCCCCTATGTGAGATCCCCAGTTCCATCATACTACACTGGGAATGAAACCTAGAGCATGACACTGAAAAAATGAAAAACCCTAACCAGGTATAATGGTACATGCCCCTAATCCCAGTACTCAGGGGGAGTCAGGAGAAACTGAGGCCAGCCTGCCTACATAGTGAGAGCCTATCTTAAAAAACAAAAAATGGGCCAGCAAGATGGCTTATCGGGTAAAGGCGCCTGCCACCAAGCCTTACGACCTGAGTTCGATCCCCAAATCCACATGGTGAACCAGTTCCACACACACATATAGTGCAGACACACACACACACATGAATTCAAAATAAATTTTAAAAAATCAGGACTGGGATGTAGCTCAGTGGTAGAACTTTTGCTTAGCATACAGAAAAGCCCCAGTTTCAAACCCCAGTTTTACATATATATATAATTGACCATTTATTGCCTTGTAATTTTGCCAAGGAAATGAGCCCAAAGGGAAAATAAAAAGAAGTGTGTATTGTGTGTATCAGGTTACCCGTGGCAGTTCTGTTGATAGTATTGAATACTTAACTCAAATTTAAAAACATGACCTTGATTTCAAAAATACAAGCCAGTGCACCTTCTGTTGTACTTAAAGCCAGGGGAAAACAAGGGTCCTCTGAGCCTGCCCACCCCCCACTCATAGGGGAGGAACTGGGGTGCACAGACCTGTTATCAGGCCCCACATAGCCCTAAGGCAACAGGGTCTCCTGTCCTCCACTGCCACCCTCACGAAGCCCAGAACTGCTCAGCATCTGCCTGAGGTCCCCATTTGAGGTTCCCCAGTGGCCACACTGCCTGAGAAAACAGCCACCTTGGAGAAATTCATGTCCATACATAGGGACTACAGTGTGTGCCAACTCCAGCAAACGTAGTACTATGTGAAATGCCAGGATGCGGGGCCAGTAAGCTAGCTCAGCAGGTAAGGGTGCTTGCTGCCAATCCCCAGGACCCATAGTAGAAGGAGAAAGCCAACTCCCTAAAGCTGTCCTTTGACCTCCATGTGCATGCTCTGGCATGCATATTCGCACACAATAAACAAATGAGTGTAAATAAATACTAGACTGAACACAGGATTACTGTACAAAAAGAAAAAATCTTCTTCTGCCGGCATGACAGCCACAGAATTGGTTTCTGGGACTTCTTCCACGATACCTGTTACTCATTTGAAAGCAGGGTGGTGAGGCTTGTTTGCTTTTGAGAAAGAGGAAGTGAGGACTCATTAGCCCTTTGTGTGGCGCTGGTGAAGAAACCCAGGGCCTGCAGCACGCTGAGCACAGGCTCTACATCCCTAGCTATATCCCTAGCAATTGGCTTTTAAACTGCAACTATCAGCCAGGCCAGTGGTGGCGCACGCCTTTAATCCCAGCACTCAGGAGGCAGAGGCAGAGAGGCAGGTGGATCCCAGCCTCCTGAGTGCTGGGATCAAAGGTGTGCGCCACCACACCCTGCTGCAGACTCTGTTTTTAAGGACTTCAGTGGTTTGTAGTCAGAAGAATTCCTCCATGTTCTTTTTCTCCTCCCAGTGCCTACAGAAGCACTGCCACAGGAACAACAAGAAGGAAGTGGAAGTAAGGACGCCCAAGAAAAACGAGGTACAGGCTGTTCTTGTGCTGGTGTGAGGGCCAAGGTCAGTGGGGTCTGGGCACCCCTTGCTTGTTGTGTTCCACTCCAGTCACAGTGGGAGAAAGTCCACCAACTCCAGGAGATGGCAAAAGTGTGCCCTGACAGGGCCAGGCGTGGTGGTGCACACCTTTAATCCTAGTATTTGGGAAGCAGAGGCAGGCGGATCTTTTTGAGTTTGAGGCCAGCCTGGTCTACATAGTGAGTTCCAGGACAGCTGGGGCTACAGGGAGACCCTGTCTCAAAAAGGCCAAAAAAAAAAACAAAAAAACCAAAAAAACCAAAAAACTGTGCCCTGACAAGGGAGCCAACACCTCAGTGAATAGTCAGGCTCATCCGCTACCAGGGGCGCCAGGTCTGCTGCCCTCGTGTACAGCCAGGTACAGCCAGCTCTCCCTCCTCACACCAGTCTCTCTCCAGCCTCCTTAGGGAAGACAGGTTTGGGCTCTTCACCAGCTCAGGTCTAACCTACTTACTTAGGTTTACTTAGAAGAGCCAGAACCCACGAGGTATTCTGGAGTGTTTTCAACCACTTTCCAAATGGCAGAACATTTTGTTATAGACCCAGGTAACCTCATGTCAGAGAGCATCCTGCCTGCTGCCAGCCCACCACCCACTTTCTCTCATTTGATAGACAAGGATTAATCTGTTTCTCCCATCTCACAGAGGAGAAGGGGACCAGCTCTCCTGACTATCGACACTACCTTCGAATGTGGGCCAAGGAGAAAGAGGCTCAGAAAGAGACCATTAAGGACCTTCCCAAGATGAACCAGGTAGGCACAGCCAAAGTCTGTTTCTAGAAAAATTCTGTCTGTGCCTGGGGCTTCCACAGCCTCACACCACCCATCAGTCTCTGGTGGGATGCAAATTCTCTTCCATCTCTCTAGAGCCTGTTAGTCCTAAATGGCCATTAGTGATGATTCCAGAAATATACAAGACTCCTTGCTCCAGGGCCCTGAGCAGGATGGTATTTCCATGGTAACTGTTTGCTTAGGTTGAGTCAGTATCCATGAACCAGAGAAGACCTGGGGAAAGCTAGTCTCTAATAGCAAGAGAGTCATCTCAGCCTTTGGGAAGAAAGTATTCACAGCATTCCAGTTCCTCCCAAGACGTCCAGGTCCTCCCATGGTGAGTTCTTCATCTGCTGTCTCAGGTGAAGAGCCTGGTATCCTGCCAAAGGCGTCCCAGCCAGGAAGTGGCAGACCCTGGATTCAGACTGCAGACACCCAACCAACCCTCAAGTTGGACTGTACCCTGGCTGTGCCCAAGGAGGGCCCCACATTCCAAGCACTCTTACACATAAGCATCAAGAACGGGGCCCATGGAAGGTGGCTTCATCCTAGACTCTCCTCGATACCCCTCAGCTAGCAAGGATGTAACTTGCCCTGTCACCCTCACACTTGCCCTGTCACCCTCATTGAAACAGTTGAAGCTGGTTCTGTTAAAATTATAAAAAGATAGCTGGGCGTGGTGGCGCACGCCTTTAATCCCAGCACGCGGGAGGCAGAGGCAGGTGGATCTCTGTGAGTCTAAGGCCAGCCTGGTCTACATAGTTCTAGGACAGCTGGGGCTACAGGGAGACCCTGTCTCAAAAAGACCAAAAAAAAGGCCAAAGGTAGGCATGTTAGTACACCCTTAATCCCAGCACTCAGGAGAAAAAATTGGGTGGATCTCTGTGAGTTTGCGACCAGCCTGGTCTACACAGCAAGTTCCAGGCCAGCCAGGGCTACATAGTGAAATCCTGTCTTTAAAAAAAAAAAAAAAAAAAAAAAAAAAAAGTGATTCTAAAACATGGTACGAAGTCCTTATAGTTAGTGGGTTCCAGAAGTCCTAGTAGAGGGTCTGGAGTTGTAGTTGAATGGCGGAGCACTTCCAAACATGTGGAAGGCCCTGGGTTCCATCTGCAGCACTGCAAGCAGGCCTGAGAGGCCAATCTCTGCTAGCAGCATACACATGGAAACAGGAGTCTCAGAAACGCATTCTGTCCTTCCTGAAAAGAAAGGCAGCTGTGAAGAAAAGCTTTGAAAGGCTGCATGGCATGGGTTGGGTCGCCTCCCTCCCTGATGTCCTGACCTGCGACTTGGGAATGATAACACGGTTTGTAGAGTCAACATCCTAACACCAGTTAGAGCAGCCTACATCTGCAGTCTGCTAATCAAGAGCACACCCTCCTATCTGTAACCACCTCCCTGTTTCCTTTCTGGTTTTCTCCCTAAGGAGCAATTTATTGAGCTGTGCAAGACACTCTACAACATGTTCAGCGAAGACCCTATAGAGCAGGACTTGTACCATGCCATTGCCACTGTGGCCAGCCTGCTCCTGCAAATCGGTGAGGTGGGGAAGAAATTTTCTGCCTGGACAAGCAGGAAGCCCAGGGATGGTGCCCACACTGGGGACCACAACAGTGCCCTAGAGGAGGACCAGCCACCAGCACTGAAACCCCACCAAGACCCAACACAGGAGCTTCAGCCACCAGCTGCAGGGGACCCCCAGGCCAAAGCCAGCGGTGACAGTCCCCTTGGGAAAGCAGCACAGGAGAGTCACATGGTGGTGGAAGGGGGCAGTGGCGAGGGGCAGGGCTCTCCTTCCCTACTCTTGTCTGATGATGAAACCAAAGATGACATGTCGATGTCATCCTACTCAGTGGTCAGCACGGGATCGCTGCAGTGTGAGGACCTCACAGATGATACAGTGCTGGTCGGGGGCGAGGCCTGCAGCCCTACTGCCACTTCACGGGTGGGGGGCACTGTGGACACAGACTGGTGCATCTCCTTCGAGCAGATCCTGGCCTCCATCCTGACGGAGTCTGTGCTAGTGAACTTCTTTGAGAAGAGGGTAGACATTGGACTCAAGATCAAGGACCAAAAGAAGGTAGAGAGGCAGTTTAGCGCCTCCAGTGACCATGAGCCACCTGGGGTCTCGGGCTGAGCTGGGAAGTGGAGGCCAGTCTCTGTCTCCTTCCCTACATCCCCTTTCCATTTTCTCCTTAAAGACACACCCATTCTTTTGAGGCAGGGAGTTCTAAAAACAGAGAAAGTCCATGCAGACCCAGTTGCCTTATGAGGATTCCCTGGGCCAGGGCTCCCTCTTCCTCCCTGCTGGCTGGGAACCACCTGGAGAACCCGCCATGAGCCCTCTGTGCCCACATAGCATTAGCGGCGTTCAGATCTGCCCCTGCCTGGCTTGCACACCTGCACCCCATGCTGTGCCCACACCATACCAGTTGCTCAAAGATCTACAGCTACTTGGCCTGGCACTTGTCATGCGCTTAGGCTCCAGGAAATGGAGACTTCTAGATACCTTCTGAGCTCTTAGCCTAAGCCTGAACCTTAGGATTGAGGATCTCGGGTGGGAAAACATCTGTTACACGGGAGCGGGTGCCTTGCACCACTTCCCTGACTTATGTGGTGTCTCCTCACTATGAACTTTGGAAAGCACATCCCTCAGGTCTTCTGTTTCCTCATCTGCATTTCAGTTGGCTAAAAATCACACCATGCTCAATGCCTTAATAAACCCCCAAAAGAAAGCAAAAGCACACTGCGCAGTGCCTTCCTTGGCCTTTCACCACTGCCTAGACTGGCTGCCTTTCCTGGGTCAGGTGTGAGGCCCAGGTAGCACTGTGGAAGTTCAGGACACATGAACCCATAAGAAGTGGGGGAAGTTGCAAGGCCCAACAATAAACATGGGAACTGTAGTCACAGGAAGTGTTGACCAGCAGGTCCGTGTCCAGGGGTGTGTGGGATGTGGGCGATGCCTGTCAGCACTGGGCAGTACCAAATCACTGGCCCCTGGGTTCAAGAAGTAGACTTGATGTAGCACTTTTGCCAGGCGTGGTGTCGCACGCCTTTAATCCCAGCACTCGAGGCAGAGGCAGGCAGATCTCTCTCAGTTCGAGGCCAACCTGGTCTACATAACAAGTTCTAGGTCAGGTGAGGCTACAGGAAGACCCTGTCTCAAAAAGACTAAAAAAAAAAAGTAGACTGTGGGACCACACATGGCCAGTGGGGGCCTCCTGGGCTGAGGTAGAACAGGACTGAGCTGTGAGGTCCCCTTGCAGTGTAACAGGAGCAGAGGTTGGTGTCTAGCATTTGCCCATGAGCACGCAACACCTCTTTTTTAAAAAAAACATCCTGGATTATTTTCTATTTTATATGTGATAGTTCATGCTAGGTGTGGTAGCACACAACCTGTAATTTTGCACCCCGGATCTGAAGCAGGAAGATTGCCTCAAGTTTGCTATGCTACCTAGCTAGACACTCTCAAAATAAATAGATAAAAATAAATATGATGGCATTAAGGTATTATTATTATTTACAATAATACTATAAAATTTTCTTATTTAGGGCAAGGAGATGACTCAGAGAGGGTAAGAGTGTTTGCTGTGTAACAGGAGGACCTGACTTCAGATCCCCAGCACCCATGTAAAAGCTTGCCATGGCCATGTGCACCAGTAACACCAGTTCTGGTGGTTGGAGACCAACAGCCTAGCCACCCAGCCAGCTTCAGGTTCAGTGAAAGAGCCTGTCTCAAGGGACTAAAGCACAGTGTGATGCAGTAGGACACCCAAGGTCTTCCTCCAGCTTCCACATACACCACCCCACAGTATTAAAAGTACAAATCAGTGATCCCTAGTAAGTTTACTGAGTTGTGTAACCATCTCCTTGACGCAATTCTGGATTATTTCAATCACCCCAGAATGACCCCTGGGGTCCATTTGCAGTAGATCCCTTTTCCTAGCACCAGGTAATCACTAATCCTTCTATAAAGCTTATGGTCTTAAAAATAGTTTAGGCTAGATGTGGTGGCATATGCCTTTAATCCCAGCACTCTGGATGCAAAGGCAGGCAGATCTAAGTGAGTTCAAGACCATCCTGGTCTACATAGTGAGTTTCAGGTCAGCTTGGTCTACATAGTGAGTTCCAGTTCCAGGGAGACCGTGTCTCACAAAGACAAAAAAAAATAAAAATAGCAGTTTAGGCCAAACATGGTGGTACAAGCCTTTAATCCCAGCACTGGGGAAGCAAAAGCAGGTGGATCTCAGTGAGATCCAGGCTATCCTGGTCTACACAGCAAGTACCAGGCCAGCTGGGGCTACAGGGAGACCCCAGCTCAAAACAAAACAAAAAGCACTTCGAGAACTGGAGTGATGGCTCAGCAGTTAAGAGCACTTGCTGCTCCTGCAGAGGACCCAGGTTTGGTTCCCCAGTAGCCGCTTACATAGTGACTCACAAACACCTGTAACTAGTTCCAGGGGATTTGATGCCTTCTCTGGCCTCCAGGCTCCTGAATGCATGTGGTACACATAAATTCACCCAGCCACACACATACATATAAAACTAAATCTTTTAAAAAAAAACAGTTCAGGGCTGCAGGTGCAGCTCAGTGGTAGAGCACTTTCTGGCATGAAGGAGCGCTGGGTTCCATCCGCAGAACCACACACACACACAATAATATGCTTCATACTGACTCTCTGGTTCACAGCTGCTATGTCATAGTCATTCATATTCTCTCTGTCTTTCTGTCTCTGTCTCTCTCTCTTCCCTCTCTTCTCTCTCCTCTCTCCCTTTCCCTCAAGACAGGGTCTCCTGATATAGCCCCGGCTGATCTTGAAGTCAGGATCCTCCTCTCTCAGTTTCCCACATGCTGGGATTACAAACATGTGCCTCCATGCCCAGCTCCCTCTGTTATATGCTTAATAAACCCAGCAAAAGACCAAGGGAAACGAACAACTGTTTTCCTTCTTTAAAAAAGTAGTCCATTAAAAATCTAAAAGGTTGGCTGGGCGTGGTGACACACGCCTTTAATCCCAGCACTTAGGAGGCAGAGGCAGGTGGATCTTTGTGAGTTCAAGGCCAGCCTGGTCTATATAGTGAGTTCCAGTCAACTGGGACTACAGGGAGACCCTGTCCCAAAAAGAAAAAAAAAAAATCTAAAAGGCTGGTTGTGGTGCACCTTGCCAGGATATACTGAAGAGGCAGAGACAGGAGGCTCATGCATGAGCTTGAGGACAGCCTGGGCTATACCTTTAAATGGGGCTAGAGAGATGGCTGAGCAGTTAAGAACATTTGATGTGGGGGCTGGAGAGATGGCTCAACGGTTAAGAACACTGGTTGTTCTTGCAGAAGACCCAGGTTCGAATCCCAGCATCCACATGGCAGCTAACATCTGTCCATAACTCCAGTTCCAGGGGATCTGACAGCCTCTTCTGTCCTCCGCAGGCATTGCGCGACATGGGTGCACTTACCTACATGCAGGCAATACACGTATACACATAAAATAAAAATAAAATATATATTAAAAAAAAGAACACTTGATGTTCTTGCAGAGGACCAGGATTCAGTTCCCACATGGCAGCTACAACTGTCTGTAATTCCAGTTCCAGAGGATCTGTCGCTGACATTTAGGCTGGTTTCATTTCCTTGCCACCTTAAGTAAAGCAGCAATAAGCAGGGATGTGCAAATATCTCTGTGGTAGGACAGAGTGCTTTGGGTATATGCTCAGGGGTATCATTTGGGTCATGTAGTTCTATTTTCAATTTTTTTAGGAACCTCCAGACTGATTTCTACAATGACTGTATTAATTTGCACTCCCACCAGCACTGAATAAGGGTTCCTCTTTCCACACATCCTTCCAACATGGACGAGGGAAGGTCTTTGAGCAGGGCTTTTCAATAGGACTGTTTTACAAAGAAGTACAGAGGGACCTAGAAGCTTCATAATCTTCACTAAAGTTTTGTCATACAAAAAACAAAACAAAACAAAAAAACCCTGTCGCTTCTCAATAACAAATTTAACAGCATTTTTACTTCAAACCCAGACTGTATACAACAAACCCATTCATTGAAAGTTTATTATTTTTATTTTATGTGTATGCGTGCATTGCCTGCATGTAGGTAAGTGTACCCATGTTGTGCAATGCCCGCAGAGGACAGAAGAGGCTGTTGAATCTCCTGGACCTGGAGTTACAGTCAGTTGTTAGCTGCCACATGGGTGTTGGGATTCAAACCCGGGTCTTCTGCACAGTGTTCTTAACTGCTGAGCCATCGCTCCAGCCCCTCATTGAAAGTTTCTTGTCCCATGGATGTGAACCTTATGAGGGCATCTACTGTGGCAGTCATCTGTACAGATCTTTCAGACAGTGGTCCACAGCTCAGTTGTGAAATGGCATTTTATCTCATCTTATTGCAATGAAATTATAACCATGGCAAGTCAGGATTCTTTCCTTTTTTTAATTTATTTTTTGGTCTTTTTGAAACTATAGCCCCAGCTGGCCTGGAACTTGCTATGTAGACCATGCTGGCCTTGAACTCACAGGGAGCCGCACGCCTCTGCCTCCCAAGTGCTGGGATTAAAGGCATGTGCCACCACACCCAGCTGGCAAATCAGGGTGTTTTTTTTTAATATTTTATTATTTTTATGTGTATGTGGGTATTGCCTGCATGTAGGTGAGTACACCTGTGTCCTGCAATGCCTGCAGAAGATAGAAGAGGCTGTCAGATCCCCTGGAACTGGACTTACAGTTGTTAGCTGCCATGTGGGTGCTGGGATTCGAACCTGGGTCTTCTGCAAGAACAGTCACTGTTCTTAACCACTGAGCCATCTCTCAGGTTTCTTAAGCTTTGCCACAGAAATTATAAACACAGGAAGTATTGTGATGCATTCAGACATGCAGTGTACAGACACTTGGAAACAGTCCTCACCAAATTAGGAAAAGCAACTCTCTGAGACAAAGCCTCCCTGTGTGGCTTTATCTGACCTGGAACACTAGCCCAGGCAGGCCTCAAGCCGGTACTGCTCCTGCAGGTCCATACCCGGGTCGATTCTAGGCCCTTGTCCCACATGCCCAGTGGCCACCATTCTTTACATTTTGTTTCCATTTCTTCTTGTTATTCTGCAATGAACATTACTGTATAAATACTCTGAGTGATATGGGTTGCTTTTCTCAGGATATGGGTAATTTCCAAATTGTTTTTCTCTGGGGGAGGAACCCCGGGCTGGCCTCCATCTTTCTGAGATCCGCCTGCCTCAGCCTCCCCAGTGCTGGGATTACAGTCATGCTTCCAGAGTGGAGTCTTGTCCAGGGACTGCAGTAAATGCTTTTGGTTCTCAGCTGGGGCTGCAAGCGCCTGTTTTTCTGAATTATCGGTTCTCAGGCAACTTCGGGCTCAAAGACTAACAACCCACTTCTGCCCAAATGTCCTCCAAATCCCAACCATAGCGCCAGAGGCCCTCCATCTCCCTCTCTCAAGACGATGTGAAGCCGAGAAGGATGCAGGCAAAGGAGATGGAGGGCAGCTAAGCCAAACCCCTGCAAACTTCTGCCCAGGCAGAAAGGCTGGTTTACAAAGAGACCGGAACTGGTCCGGGTCCGAGCACAAAATCGTGGACGCCCCGAACCAACGGAAAAGCAGGCTCTGCAGCTCCCTTTGGAGATTTCGTGGGGCGGCGAGTAACCACCGAGACGCGCCGTAGGCTAGAGCGGCCAGAGGCGGGGAACCCAGGCAAGCAGTGGTCGTAGGCGGGGCCAAGCTCGATTCAGTTGCCTGCGAGGCGATGAGGGGCTAGAGAGGCCGGAGTCCGTGCAAGTGGGCGCGGCGGGGGGGCCGAGCCTGCGCGGGTCTCGGGCGGGACCGATCTCTATCCAGGTGCATGCGAGGTGGTGAGGGGCTAGAGGGGCCGGAGTCCGTGCAAGTGGGCGGAGCCTAGGCAGGAGGCGCGCAGGGGCGGGGCTGAGTGTCTAGAGGGGCCGGGTCTTTCCGAGTGGGCGGAGCCTGGTCGCACTGGCGCGTGGCGGTCTACCGAGGCTTGTATGGCGCCAGCTCAGCAGTCTCGGGTTCTGCGATGCTGCAGCTGCCATCTCTTTCAGGCGCATCAGGTGGGGTGGGCGCCCGCCTCCCCTCTTCCCTGGAGGGATGGTGGGCGAAGTGTGGCGGGCCGGGCCGCGTCTCTTGAGGCTGATGGGATTGACAGTGACAAGCTGAGGCACTTCTGTATTCTCTGGCCATCTTGTGGGTGTTTTGGGTTTTTTTCCTGGTTACTGAGGGCTTAGACGCCGGGCCTTGGGCGCGCTCCTAAGTCTTGGCCCTGTATTTATGATTTTTGCGTGGTTGTAGGCTTCTGCAGAAGAAACTTCCGGCGAATTCTAGCAGGGAGGTGGGGATCCCGGGTTGAGGAATTGCGTCCTTTCTGCAGAAACTAGCCCCTACACTCAGTGGCTCGACCAGTTTAAGTACAGGGAGAAGAAAGTTTAAAAAAACACTAGGCTGAGGATGTAGCTCCGATGGTGGAGTGCTTGCCTAGTATGCAGGAAGCCTTGCGTTCGATCTCCAGCACCGAATACACCCGTTGCCCTGATTAGGCGCTAGTGGTGCATGCTTGGGGTGGGGATAAAGCTGGAGGCAGAAGCACCGGGTGACATCAGGGCCCACCTAGGAATGCTTCAACAGGATTTCCAAACTGCTTTGAGATAGGGTCTCATGTATCGCTGGCTATCGTCCAACTGATTCGCCACACCCAGTGCATTCCCCATATTAACCATAACAAATTGTTTTTTCCTTTTGTTTTGCAATGCCCGGGATCAAACCCAGGGCCTCAAGTACGCTAGGTAAGTTCTGTACCACTGAGCTACATCCCCAGCCCCAATCATAGTCTTAGTGGTTTTGTTTGACACTTCTGGGAGTGGGGGAGTGCTGAAATTATAGGGCCATGCTAATGCTAGCACACCCTGCTGATCATAGCAGTTTTATGAATCAGCTTAGGTCTCTTTGTATCTTTTAAATATATCTTTTTATTTTATGTATATAAGTCTTTACTTGCATGCATGTATGGGTGTCATGTGATGTGTGTGCCTGGTGCCCAAGGACCCTGGCTGGGTAGCTATAGTTGTCAACACACCTGGGTAGATCAAGCCTCAATTGGGAAATTGCTCCCATTGGACTGGCCTGTGGCCATGTCTGTGAGGCATTTTCTTGATTGTTGAGTGATGTGGGAGGGCCCAGCCCACTGTGGGCGGTGCCACCCTTGAGCAGGTTTTACTGTTCTGTATTTATAAAGGAAAACAGGCTGAGCCTGGGCCAGGGGAGCAAGCCAGTCAGCGGGGTTCCTCCATGGCCTGTGCTTCAGATCTTGCCTCCAGGTTCGTGCCCTGCGTTCCTAAAGAAAGATCAGAAAATGAGACTTTGGAGATGACTCAGTAAAGTGCACATTGTAGGGATGAGGACCTGTGTGCCATTCCAGAACTTTCATAAAATAAAGCAAGGCATGGTCAAATGCCCTTGTGATCCCAGTGCTTAGAGGAAGAGGTAGGAATGTACTGGTACTTGATGGCTAGCAAGTCAGTGAGTTCTAGGCTACTAATAGACCTGGTGTGCTGGATACCTTTAGTGTCACCTTGACATACCTGGGTTGAAGGAGCATCAATTGGGGAATTTCCTCTATCGGACTGGCCTGTGGTCATGTCTGCAGGACATCTTCTTGATTGTTGAGTGATGTGGGAGGGCCCAGCCCACTGTGGGCGGTGCCACCCTTGAGCAGGTTTTACTGTTCTGTATTTATAAAGGAAAACAGGCTGAGCCTGGGCCAGGGGAGCAAGCCAGTCAGCGGGGTTCCTCCATGGCCTGTGCTTCAGATCTTGCCTCCAGGTTCCTGCCCTGAGTTCCTTACCTTGGGCTCCCTGATGAACTGTGACCTGGGAGACGTAAGCCAAATAAACCCTTTCCTCCCCAAGTTGGTATAGGTCAGTGTGTTTTGTCACAGCAATTGAAAGTAAACTAAAACACCCCTGGAACTGAAGTTATAGCCAGCTATGAGCCACCATGTGGGTGATGGGAACCAAACCCGGATCCTCTGCAACAGCAGCCAATACTTTCTTTTCTTTTTTTTTTTTGTCTTTTTGAGACAGGGTCTCCCTGTAGCCCCAGCTGTCCTGGATTCACTATGGAGATCAGGCTGCTTTGGAACTCACAAAGATCCGCTTGCCTCTGCCTCCCAAGTGCTGAGATTAAAGGCGTGCATCATCACACCCAGCTGAAATGGAATTTTTTTTTAATTACTTTTTTTAAAAAGGGACTGGAAGCCCTCTCTTTGAAGTTGTACACTTTTCACTGCTATCTCCATTGGCTAGTCCATCCGGTTGAAATGGTAATTGTGGAGCCTGTATGTGGTGATGTGTCCCTGTAATCCCAGCATTCTGGAGCTCAAAAACCAAAACCAAACAAAAACCATGTGAGCATTCTTGTCTTGTTCTTTCCTACCGTGGAAATGCTGGTGATTTTCCAATTTTAGAGCTGGGTCTAAGGCATTTTATCAATTTAAATGGCGCCTATTTAGTCAAGTTTACCAAGAATGAAAATTAAATGTTATGGAAATTATTTTTTCATTGTTGAGATCAATTCCAAGGCATGATAGCTGCCACTGAGATTTATTTCCAGGCCTGGATGTGTGTGGGGGTGTGCATGTGTGTGCAGATGTACATGCAGAGGTGATGACAGTGTCCTATCACTGTCTGTTTTACTCCTTTGAAATGTTACCTCACTGAATCTGGAGCTAGCCTAGCAGCCAGCAAGTCCCAGTGATCCCCCCACCCTTCTTTTTACATGGATTCTGGGATCCAAATTCAGTCCTCAAGCTTGAGTAGCAAGTGCTCTTTAACCACTGAACCATCTCTCTAGCATCAGAAATCTGGATTTTGTTTCACATGAATGGCCAGTTTTTCTAGTACCCAATTATTAAATAGTATATTCTTTTCTCACCTAGAAATGCTTTCCTTTGGGGCTTGCGGTACAACCGAATTATTTCTGATCCAATTGCACCTTGTTTTATTTATTTGTCTCAGTTATATTTCCAAAATTTCATTGTAGGTGAAAAAGAGTCTCAAATGGACATGCAAGGCTTGTGGAGAGAAGCAGTCCTTCATGCGGGTGAGTACCGAGAACAAACCTGTGGGCCCAGCTCTGCAGACATGTTCCTCACGAAGCCCCAAGTTCCATAACCAGATCCTTTTCTCACTCACAAAGTTCACCTGATAGAGCTCCTGTGCCCTAGGTTCTTCCTCCTTCTGGAACTGCAGTGGATGGAACAGTACCAAATCCACTAGGACCCTTGTGTTCACTGTTGGGGCTCTCTCTTTTGTCCTAATGGAAGTTATGTAGTCATGAGAGTGTTATCTAGCCACACAGGGAGTTCCGTGGGAGCAGAAGTTCTGCCTATTTTATTCACTGATGGACTCACAGTACCCAATACACTATCCTGTCGACAATAAGTAGATTCAGTAGTATCTACTGAATGAATAAATGAGCAGTCCCACACTGATGGACAGTTATATTGATTTTCATCTGCATTGTGATACACAGATCAGCAATGAAGCTTTACATTTACTTATTTTTTTCAGTGCTTGGCTTTAACTCAGGTCTTCAGGCATGCTAGATGAGCACTCTGCCACTGAGCACCTTCAGGGAAAAAAGTGCAAGCTTTTTACCCCAGCACCTTTAGGGAAGGTTGTTTTCAACTACCTGTTTGTTCACTTGGCTGTGTACTCTTTCCTTAGGACAGTGTCCTAAGTATGCAGTTGTTTTAAAGGATATCTTTCCATTCAGGTTCTTTTAGTTGAAAGTGATAGACAAAACACTTCAACATGCCTTATAGTTCCAGCACTTTTGAGGCAGAGGCCAGCCTGGTCTACGTAGGGAGTTCTAGGCCAGCTGGGGCTACAGGGAGACCCTGTCTCAAAAACAAACACTTCAAGGACTGAGGCTGTAACTCAGTTGGTAGAGTGCCTCTCATGCATAAGGCCAGGGTTTGATCTCCAGCATGGTATAAAACTGAGTGTGGTGGTATACAGCTGTGATGCCAGTGCTCAGAAGGTAGAGGCAGGATAATCAAGAGTTCAAGGTCATCCTCAGTTTCATAGAAAGTTCCAGGTTAACCTGGGCTATATGAGACCCAGTCTCAAAATTAAAAAAAAAAAAAGGATGGCCAGGCAGGGTGGTATACACCTTTAGTCCCAGCACCTGGGAAGCAGAGATAGGCAGATCTCTGAGTTTGAGAGTTTGAAGCCAGCCTGGTCTACATCATGTTCCAGTCCAGTTAGAACTACACAGTGACACCCTATCTCAGGAAGGAGAGTGAGAAATGAGGGAGATGGAGTCAGGGGAAAAAACACTTCAGAATTACATTAGTAAAGTAAAAACCACTGTGCCAGTATATATGGGGTATCTTAGGAAAAACCAAAGCAGAACTTTACCCTGAACCCTTGAACAATGGGCTCTAAGAACTGAAAAGTGGGGACAGGAGTGATAGCTCAGCAGTGAAGAGCACTGGCTGTTCTTGCAGAGGACCTGAATTCGGTTCCCAGCACCCAATGATGGGTCACAACCATCTGTTACTCCTTCTCCAGGGATCCAGTGCCCTCTTCTAGTCTTCTCAGCCACTGCACACACATGGTGCACCTACATATATGTAGGAAAAACACTGATACACATAACAAAAATAAGTTAACTAAAAAGAAAAAGCTTCCAGCAGGCCAGGCAGTCCTTTCCCCTGCCCCACCCCAATGCTTCCCTGGGTCCTCTCCTGTTTCTTCTAAGCAGCATAGTGTCAGGCACTGTAGGGAATCACAGAAACTTCCTCAGCCAGCTGGAATAGCTGACTCCAGTCGTGAAGTCCTAGAAAAGTAATGTGATTGACCCAAATGCCCATCGCTGTCTCAGTCACTGGGTTTGCATCCTACAAGATGTGGGGCGACCTCAGTTGGGCAGACACGCCCCACATAGTGATTGGTACTTGAGGCAGTATGCTTCTCTGAATTCATCTGTAGCTGTGATGGCGTGTGGTTACGGTTGACGGGGAAGTTGTTGCTGTTACTCTAGAGAGGAACATTGAGATCAGTGGGGCGGCTGTGGGCGGGGTCACTCATGGACCCAGGCTGCTGTCATCTTCACATTCTCTTACTCCCTGAGGCTTATTTGCAGCTGCTTCTAGCCAAAGGGGCCAGAGAATGGGGCAGCTCCCAGGAGGCTTTTAGGGCCAGGCCCGGAAGTAGCTGACATTACAATGGAAAGAGCTAGTGTCAGACCTGTACGTACCCAAGGTAGACTGTAGAATAAAGTGTAGCCTTGTGTCTGCGTAGGGAAGATGCACATCAGTGATCAGTGGAGAGCACTCCCCTGCTGTCAACAGCAGGTGGGGGTTATCATTCTTCTTAACCTTACCATCCCTCTGTGCCCACCCCCTCTCTACCTAGTCTCACTTGGTCATGCTGCATCAAGGACCACACTCCCGACTAGCCACTGACATACCTGTGTTTGGACCTCCATGTTGCTAAAACATGGGTTGGTTCACAGGTTGTCACTTGTGCTTACTTGAAATGTGTCCTCTGCTTGGACTTCCACGCCATCTGCTCCTGGCTTTCCTCCTGGCTTCCTGGCTATGGTTTCAACCCTCTGCTGTTTCCCTACCTCCCAACTTCTAAACATTGAAGTATACTATAATGTAGTCTTTCAGTGCCTCAGGCTGCACTCCCTCAGGGACTATAGAGGAGCTCCGTGGCAGAGCCTAGCATGCAGACGTGGAGGCGGGGGTATGGTCTCTGACAGCTGCCAGAGCTAGCCCACAGAGCTCAGGCCTGTCCTCAGCCCCACAATGCCTCCCTACCAGATATCTCAGCTCGGGTTCGTTCCCCAGCACCTCGTATGTGGAACATGGACACTGCACCACATGAACCCGCTCTTCCCACAGCCATCCCTACCTCTTCACTGTTAGGGTTCTCATTCTCGTTGTTTGGGCTAAAAATCTTGCTATCATCCTTAACTCCTTTTTCTTTTACACTCTTCATCAGCAGATTTTGTCAGCTGTGCCTTCAAAGTAGATCCATAGTATGACCCCATCATACCCCAGCAGTCAAGCCTTACATGTTCCTTACCTCACTGTTTGCAGTAGCTTCCTAACTTGTATACCTCTTTCTGCTAACAAATCTCTTCCCAGTACCACAGAGGATCCTCGGACAACATACCGGGTTAAACCAGGCGTGGTGGCACATGTCTGCAGTCCTAGCACTAGGGAGGTGGAGGCAGGAGGGTTAGGAATTCAAGATCACTCTAAGCTACACAGGGAGTTCAAAGCCAACCTGGAATACATGAAACCCTGTCTCAAAAAAGAAAAAAATATGCTAGGTTATAGCATTACTGTACTGAGGACACCCGTTAGATTCTTTAGACAGAGCCAGTGACTTGTTTCCTTTTTTGGGTGGAGGTGGGAGTGGGGACTGAGAATGTGGGGCCTCTCGTTCAAATGGCAGGGGAAGAACCATGGCAGGAACTAACACTCTTTATAGATGTAGCGTAGGGTAGAGGGCTTGCTTGGTCCATGCAAAGTCCGAGGTTCAGTCCCCAGCACCTAAAAACCCCACAACTTTTCCTTGTCTCGATGTTCATGATTTGAGAGCAGGGAAAGGGCTGCTGGAGGTTGGACCCTGGGCCCTGCCTTGCACATGCCAAACACGTGTTCTACCACTGAGCTAGACCCTCAGCCTCACTTCACGTTTTTAATGTCTTCCTAAGGCCCCATTCCAAATTACTAGTGTGAATTTTACTATTTGCCTTTAAAATGTACAATGCAGCTGGGCATGGTGGCGCACGCCTGTAGTCCCAGTACTTGGGAGGCAGAAGCAGGCGGATCTCTGTGAGTTCAAGGCCAGCCTGGTCTACATAGTGAATTCCAGGACAGCTGGTGCTACAGGGAGACCCTGCTTCAAAAAAAAAAATGTACAATGCCAGTTTGAGATTCAAATGTAAGAGTTTTAGGGGGCTGGAGAGATGGCTCAGTGGTTAAGAGCACTGATTGCTCTTGCAGAGGACCTGGGTTCGATTCCCAGCACCCACATGATGGCTGCGAACCATCCTTAACTCCAGTTCCAGGGGAATCTGGAGCCCTCTTCTGACCTCGGCATTGCACAACATGGGTGCACTCACACACATGCAGGCAATACACTTATACACATAAAATAATAATAAAAAAAAAATAAGAGTTTTAGTGCACATCATCAAATTTCCACAGTTCATATTTCACAGCTCATCTGTGCCTAAGAAGTTTGTTCTTAGCAGAACAGTGAAATGGCTACACCATTTGAACTCAGCTGTTTGGGGTTTTGTTTTTTCATGCTTTTGCTTTTGAGACAAGGTCTTAGTGTGCAGACCAGATTAGTTGGAACTTGCAACAATCCTCCTGCTTCTGCCTCCCCAAGTGCTGGAATTACAAATAGGACTCACCACACCTACCTTTGAAGTCAGCTGTTTTGGTTTCACTTTTCTGTTGCTCCTGGGTCAGATGGTAAGCCTAACTTCCCAGGCTATAGTGCTACCTACCTTGCTCTATGGACATCACACACAGAGTACACTTGAGGCCCCCCCTGAGCTCCCCCACACCAGGACTCTACAGGAATTCTGTGCCCAACATGCACTGAGAACACTATCTGCTAATACGGTGTGAGGGACTGTGGTCACTTGTGCGCATCTTCTCTGCTCCGCCGGGTCCCCTTGTCTCATTGAACTTCACCTGAAAGCCATAAGCTCCAAGGTCAGAGTAGAGCCATCCCTTAACATCCCTGGGGGTAAGCTGGATAAGTTCCAGGACCCACCAGGTACCAGAACTCCTCAGGTGCTCAAGTCCTGTCCATAAAGTGGCATGTAACCTATGTATGTCCCCCAAAACAGGATCTGTTTTCCAGGTAGTGTTGAATGCCTGTGCTTGAGTGATCCTCCTGCCTCAGCTTCCCAAGTACTGAAACTACAGGCTCATCCCACCGCCTCCTTTGTCCTTTAAATCATCTCTAGATGATTTGTAATACCTAATACAATGTGTGCACTGTGTAAATGGTTGCTAGACTACATTGTAATGACAAGAAAAAAGTCTAAAAGCCCTCAGTGCAGACACAGGTTTTTCTCCTGAGTATTTTCCATCTACAGTAGAGTACTCAGGCCCATGAAACATTCTACCTGTGGTAGACCATACACTCCCACATTTTGTCTCCCACCATCTTCTCAGTCTGCTCCCTGCCCCTCCAAATGCCAGGCCTGGGTTCTCTGCACTCATTCTGTTGTGTCTGCTGGAAATGTTCCAGAGCTACATGGCTTGCTCCCTTGTATCTTCCTGTTTATGCTCAGGTGTCATGACAACCTATTCCTTGGATTGATGAGATGGCTCAGAGGGTTAAGTTGCTTGCCACCAAGCCTGATAACCTGAGTTCCATCCCTGGAGCCCATTTGGGGGAAGGAGAGAACTGACTCCTTCAGATTGTCTCTGACCTCCACATACTTGCTGCAGCACATGTGCACATGCATGGATGTGTGCACACACAAATAAAATTTTAAGATGTAATAAAAACCAGTCCATTGCCTAACCATGTTGACTACACAATATGAAGTAGCATTGGGTCCTCATGTGACATCAGCCCTTTCCCTGCTGTGCTGTCCTGAGCTCTGTCAGCCTCTGGTGGGCCTGGTGTTGGACTTTCTTATTTCCTCTCACTACAAACTGAACTCCCTGCTGCCGGTCTCATCCATTGCCCTGTGATATTGGCCACACCCATAGGAGGGCCTACATGTAACAGGTGCTCAGTACTGTTTACTGAACAACTGTGTAACACCTGACTGGGGAAAAAGGCTCTCACTGTGTTCTGTATTCCTTTGTCAATGAGGAAAAGTGTCATTTTGCATATTTTTTGACAATTTGTTACTTCTTGTGACTTTTTTGTTCATGTTCTCTAAGTATTTTGTGTAACACCTTGGGCTGAGTTTTTAACATCTAGTGAGAGGGTCAGGAAGACCTAAAATACAGCTCCAGACCCCATTTGCTTATACAGCCCTCTAAAAATAGTGGCCAGATGTTTAGTTCCTAGCCCTGCTTCAAACTTCACTAGGCTTTGCAAATTCCATCTTACAGTGATCTGTTTCTCAGCATTCTGCCAACACTTTGAAAATTTAATCTATTTTTTTTTTTCTTTCAGGTTTATGGTGAGGGCTCTGGTGCTGACTGTAGACGCCATGTCCAAAAACTAAATTTGCTGCAGGGACAAGTATCAGAACTGTCATTCAGGTATAGTTGCTTGAAAAGAACACTGCACTTTACCCACTTTCATCTTGATTGGATGGTGGGAGTCTCTAGTTGGTAAATGCAGGTTAAACACCAAACAGCCCTCGCACTGAAAAGAACTAAAAGTGCTAGAAATTTTTTAATTAAAGTTGTATGTGATTGAGTGTTTTGCCTGCATGTAAGTACACCTGTGTATGCAGTACCCGCAGAGACCAGAAGAGGGCGTCTGATCCCCTGGAACTGGAGTTAGCTGTCATGTTGGTGCTGGGAACTAAACCCAGGCCCTCTTAACCCTGGTACCATCTCTACAACGCCTTAGATTTTGTGTGGGCGTGTGGTGTATGCATGTGTAGGTGTGCACACTACAGCACATGTATAGAGAGAGGATAACTTTGTGAAGTGAATTTCCTCCTACTTTTGTTCTGCTTTACGTGGGCTCTAGTGATAGCACAAAGTCACCCATCATGCAGGCACCTTTATCTGCTGAGCCATCTCACCAGTCCGTGGCTGTAATACTATAAATGTACTGATGATCTGACAAGAAAGTAAAGAACCCTCAGAAGTAAAAAGTGAAATTAAGGTCAAAATCCAGAGAAGCAGCACCTGAGCTGCAGGGGTGATTGGAACTTGGTACTCTGGACCTGCCAGGTAGACACCTAAGGGGGGTGCTAAAGGCAGGAGGCAGAGCAGGAAGGCCTAGGCAGTGTTGGGAACTCAGCAGGGGACACCATATCTTTTCCTTCTTTTCTCTCTCTCTCTCTCTCTCTCTCTCTCTCTCTCTCTCTCCCTCTCCCTCCCTCCCTCCCTCCCTCTCTCTCTCTCTCTCTCTCTCTCTCTCCCTCAGCAAGTGCTCACTGTGTAGCCCAAGCTGGCTGCCTTCAAACTCTAGCTCCTCCTTCCTCTGCCTCCAGAGTACTGACATTACAGGGCCATGTGACCACGCCCTGACCCAGAGGAACTCCATATAAAGCTAAGTCCCCGAAGGCTTGTGCCCTATGGTACAAGTGAGTCACAAAAAAACAAAAACAAACATGTTCTGTGAATCAGAGTGCTTGCTTGTATTGACCTTGACATTGGCCAAAGAGGGAGAAATCTCTCTCCAAGACTTTGGCAGCACAGGGAAGAGTCCCAGAGGTTCAGCCTCAGCTCTCACTCTGTAAAGAGTGAGAGTGTTTAGAGCTTGTTTTCCAGTTGTCTCAGGAAGTAGAGGTAAAATCCACTTCCCTCTGGAGCAGCTCATTTTCAGTATGGGCCTTGGAAAACTCCCACACACAGAAATCCAAGGAGCATATATGCAGACTTTAGAATCATTAAACCCTCAAGGAAGCATGTGATCATGAGCAAAAGACAGTAGAAACAATAGTCAGAAAAGTAAAACCCACAAAGACTTAACAGTATACTTTAAGAGTGTACATTATGTTTAATGTGTTTAACCAAAAAAAGCAGAGAGGTTGGGGACTGATGATGTAAGAAACTTAAAAACAGCCAAGTTGTGGGGCTGGAGAGACGACCCAACAGTTAAGAGCACTGGCTGCTCTTGAGAGGACCTGGGTTCAATTCCCAGCACCCACACCCACATGGCAACTAACAACCATTTATAACTCCAGTTCCAGGGGATCTGACACCCTCTTCTGACCTCCTTGGCATTGTACCACATGGGTGCGCTTACATACATGCAGGCAATACACTCATACATATAAAATAAGACGACCCAACAGTTAAGAGCACTGGCTGCTCTTGAGAGGACCTGGGTTCAATTCCCAGCACCCACACCCACATGGCAACTAACAACCATTTATAACTCCAGTTCCAGGGGATCTGACACCCTCTTCTGACCTCCTTGGCATTGTACCACATGGGTGCGCTTACATACATGCAGGCAATACACTCATACATATAAAATAAAATAATAAAGCCAAGTATGGTGTGCATGCCTGTGATTCTAGCACTCAGGAGGTTGAGGCAGGAGATCTCAGAGATGGAGGCCAGCCTGGTCTACATAGGATGTTCCAGGCCAGCTGGGGCTACAGGAAGACCCTGTTTCAAAAAGACCAAAAAAAAAAAAAAAAGAGTTGAAGGAGTAAAGGAGCCCTTCCTGTGTGGTCACAGAGTTAAGGCATGTTTGCACTGTGTGAAATTCTGAGTTACAGGTTTCAGCTAGGCGAAGAGAACAGTTAAACTCAAAGGTCATGTACTTTGATCTTGAGCATGGTTCATTGCTAACATTCTCATTTAAACTAGCTATATGAAAAAAAACTTTCTCTTCATGTAGGCAGTGTTCATGGTGAATTTTGTTGTCAAAATTGTCAACTCTAAGCTGGTGAGAGACTCTGGGGTGAGGCACCCCTTTCCCTTTCTAGGTCCCCTTAATTTTCCTTGTTTTTCTGGCTGTGGGAAACTGCGGTTGGAAGGTTGGTGATGTGGGTGATAAAAAGGATTTACCAGCTGGGCATGATGGCGCAGTCCTTTAATCCCAGCACTTGGAGGCAGAGGCTGTCAGATCTCTGTGAGTTCAAGGCCAGCCTGGTATACATAGTGAGTTCCAGGACAGCTGGGGCTACAGGGAAACCCTGTCTCAAAAAGACCAGAAAAAAAAAAAAAAAGACCAAAGAAAAAGAATTTACCAAAGGCAAAAACAAAGGAAAATGTTGTGAAGCAGATGCGACTTCCTTGAGAGGGGATCATGCTGCTGAGAGGGAGCTGGAAAGGCAGGGGAAGTTCTTTTGTGGCAGTTGAGGGGCAGCTACTTGGTTCTATCTTGTGGGCCATTTGTGTAGGGCCCATAGAGGATGTCTTATTATCTTACTGAGTAGTGAATTTTGGAGTGTAAGTCAAAAGTTAGGCTCCGCATGTACCTGTAAGACATCTATAAGACATTATCGGTCTCTAGGGATCATGTTTGTTAATGTTTGGGAATTTTGCTTTTGTATTTGGCCTTTGGTGTCTACATTTCCTCTGACAGATCAGCAAGGTCATGAGCTGTGGTGAACAGTCTGAAACTGCTCCAGAGCTGAGTGGGTGGGAGGTGTCGGTTGGCTTGCTGAGTCACCATAGGGTCCAAAGACCTTAAGACATGGAAACTTGAGGGCCATTCTGGAGAGGGGAGGAAGTGGTATTGTAAGGCTAGACTGTGATATCACTTGGTGATCTGGAGACTGGCATCAGTGCTGATGGTAATGCTTGACATCTCTGAGGCTGTAATCTAGAAGATGTCAATCATACCAAAGGTTAAGTAAGCAAGGGCCAAAACTGCAAAGCGGAATTACAAGCAAGAAAAGGGGTATGGAGCTAAAACAGCCCAAACCAACCAACAAAGTCACCTAGGAATTGTCCTACCAGGAGGTCTGTGGAATCTTGAAAGAAACAAACTTGATTACTCATTGCAGTAAGCAGTATAGAGCAGAATAAGAGATCCAACTACAGGGCTGGCAAGATGGCTCAGTGGGTAAAGGTGCTTGCTCTGCAAGCCTAGAGACCTGAGTTCAATACCTGCCATCCATGAAAAGGTGGAAGGAGAAAACTGGCTCCACACAATTGTCCTCGGACCTCCAAGTGCATCATGGCATGCATGTCTTCACACATATGCACACACAATAATACATTTTAAAAACATTTTATTTATTATTTTTATTTTATGTGTATGAGTGTTATGCCTGCATGTAAAGAAGTGCACCCATGTGGTGCAACACCCTCGGAGGACAGAAGAGGCTGTTGGATCCCCTGGAACTGGGGTTACGGACAGTTGTTAGCTGCCCTGTGGGTGCTGGGATTTGAACCTGGGTCTTCTGCAAGAACAGTCAGTGTTCTTAACCACTGAGCCATCTCTCCAGCCCCCAATAATATGTTTCTTAAAATGTATTTAAGATGGGTGACATGGCACACGCCTTTAATCCCAGTACTTGGGAGGCAGAGGCAGACGGATCTCTGTAAGTTCAAGGCCAGTCTGGTCTACCTAGTGGATTCCAGGACAGCTGGGGCTACAGGGAGACCATGTCTCAAAAAAGACCAAAACAAAAAATGTATTTTAAAAAATTCTACTAAGGGCTGGAGAGATGGCTAAGCAGTTAAGAGGACCCGGGTTCAGTTTCCAGCACCTACATCACAGTTAACAACTGTTCTAACATCAGTTCCAGGGGACCTGATGCTCTTTTCTGACCTCTGCAGACATTGCACAACATGGGTGCATGTGTATACATGCAGGCAATACACTCACACACACACATAAGATAAATAAATATTTTTTAAAAGTTCAAATGAATGATTTTTTTCCTTTTAAAAATTTATTCTTGCCAAGAGTGGTGGCACACGCCTTTAATCCCAGCACTTGGGAGGCAGAGGCAGGGGGATCTCTGGAGTTCAAGGCTAGCCTAGTCCACATAGTAAGTTCCCTGTCTCAAAATGACCAAAAAAAAATTCTCTCCCAATTTCATACATATATAACATATATATATATATATATGTCTTTTTGAAAGAGTCTCCCTGGAGCCCCAGCTGGCTGTGAACTCACAAAGATCCTCCTGCCTCTGCTTCCCAAGTTCTGGGATTAAAGGCGTGCGCCACCATGCCTGGCTACATTTTTTTTTAAATAAATAATTTATTGACAATTTTATACATGCATATAAGGTGTTTTGATCAAATCCATGCCCATTCCCTCCCATCCAACTCCTACCATATCTCCCCATCACTTTTTTTTCTGATAACTCCATGTACTCTTTCTTCTTTGATTTATTTATTTTTTTAAATGGGACTTTTGGCTACTCTAACATTCCACCTTCTGAAGAGGTAACCCTAAAATATTTTAGGGATTAGCTAAAACCCCCCAAATATTTTCAACATTTTTGGCCTTAGGTTGCTAAGAGGCCAAAGGACATTGTGAGTTTTAGCCAAGAAACTGGCTACTTTTCTTTGGGGTCTTTTTACCCTAACTGCGTAGCAAATTCCTATCTCCTATTCTTTTTTTA